ATTGTTGGGATTGCTGGGATGGTACCAGTCCAGGAGACTGTACAGGCCAGAGGTGGCATCGTGGAAAGCCAGATCCTCGATGGGCTGAGGATCAAGAACCTGGTCAAGAATATGAGACAATTTCCTCTCCGCTTCCTTGCACGTGTGGTAATTGCCATGCCCCGGTCGCGCTACCCAGGAGAGGCATGAGATGAAAACACTCAAGTTTCGGATGATTTCAGCACGCGGTAACGCAGTAGTGTATGTACCGATTCCCTGGTTTTGGTGAAGGAGCTCGAGGATGAGGACGCTGGCACTGGGGAGGCCGTAGTAAAGGAACTGCACCATGTTAATTATAGGAAAGACAGCATACTCTAAAGGGTCTTCAACATACGATCCAAGCACGATGTCTGCTCAAGTCGAAGGCTGGGTCACTGTCAGCGTTGCCTTTGATGATATTGGACAACATTGTTCGTGACGTATCGAAGAGAGCCTCATGCCCGGTATTCGCGCGTTTAACAACAGTCCTCTGCAAAAGGAAAATAGTGTAAAGGTAGTCCAGGTAAATATGAAGCAAGGTGAACGACTTTGTTAGGGGTCCCGCCTCGGTCCCTTCCGCAGACACGTCGTAACGGAGACGGACGGGACACACTGCCCACGACTCCCGCGCTTGCTTTATTATTTCACTTGAGAAGATTAGCGACGAGATCATTTTCATTCGCACGAGACACCATGGCATGAATATGACTCACTCAGAATTCTGCACCGTATCGCTGTGCTGACCGGTCCCCAAGGCTATCTCGAGAGCTCGCTCCCTAAAAACGGCCAATATGAATCGAAGACGGAGCACACTTGCTCGGTCGACCTCAACTTTGGCTGACCATCCGAAGCTATCCAGTCTTGAGATCGCCGCGTTTAGCTCATCCCCACCATGGACTATCGTTCTTTCGCTAATGTCCAGCGGGGGTGTTAGGGTGCTGTAGCGGTAGTTAATGGATGGCGGTCGTCCCACGAATGTGGCTTGATTCTTATCTGCTGAGAAGGCAGCAGCAAAGCACGATCTTCTCCATTGACGAAGAAAGAGAGGGCAATTATCGCCCATGGGGCTCTCCTGGTGAAGTCCAGCCGCATAAATTGTAGCGGATAATTCACGGAGGCGACGCCAGGCTTGGTAGCCTTATTTCCAACGACAATCAGCATATGCTACGCCCTAAGAAGAGTAATACTGGAAAAGCAAGGTCTAATTACTTACTTGAGTCACCGTAGACATGGGTGAGAAGTACAAAGCTGCTATACTGGCAAAAGCCCAATAGCTCATTGACTGAAGAAGCCTGGTCGCTAAAAGTGAGGCAGGTGCTGCTCGCTTCGACAAGCTGAGCGCGGAGTCTCTCCCGGGCTGAGGTGTCCGCCGCCACCTGATATAGATCTGGGTCACTCTCAGGTGTAGATGAAAGCGACATACCAGCAGTTGCGAAGATGATGCCTATAGCTTCCCAACGTAAATTTTGCTCAGTAAACGCTGCACAGTATTGCTCCACTGTCATTGAACCATAGGTTGACAATGGCCTGGAAGTATTCTGCGAGACCTTACGAACTGTGTTTTGAAGCTGATCTTCGACATCCTCGGTGAAATCAAGGGCCCCGAGAACATTCCGAGCGGAGCGTACAATAGACATTGTGACGATCTCTGGAATGACAGCAACAAGGACTCGGGTGTAATATCTCCGGATTAAGCTATCGCATATTGTGAGGTTTTGAAGTAGCTTTAGTAACCGCGCTCCAGTCTGGAGTCGTTCGGGTTCCATAGATTGGGACAATGTGGTGGGCATGGAGCTGTTATCTACATTGAGAGAGAACTCGGGACGATGCTCCGCAAGAATGGCTGAGTAGCTCGTCGAGCCCAAGTATCCAGGAGAAGCAGAAGCCGGCTCCAACGTAGTGTTCTGTCTTGGAAGAGCGCTCCCTCCGCCTGCTCCTGTAGTTGACGAGCTATAACGATGTCAGCACACCTTCGTGCGCTGGACTTCCATGTGTAGTTTTTTTTGGATGTGACTGGAGAATTGTTACCTTGCAATTGACTGGCTATTTCTTCCTTGTTGCCCTCTGGTAGACCTGGTCAAGCCTCCAGTCACTTTCTTCGTCATCGGTGCTGGATGATAAAAACATCCCGATACCATATTCTTAGTCAAGCATCGGCCGCAGACTGGTCTCTCATGGTCGCATCGCAATTTAGATTTGCGACACGGCTCACACGATTGCAAGGACCCATTACGGCGAACCGCATGTGATCGATGTTGGCGGCTGCGCAGATTAGAGTCTGGCATTTTGACAATAAACAACCGTCATTGAAAGCAGTGATCAACTCATTACCATACTGACATAATTGAGAGCGAAGATTTGGAGCAAGTGTTGAAAGCGGGTAAATCAAGAAGCAGGCCTGACCTGCCCGAGACTGGGCACTTCCAGAGCGGGAACTAACTTGTTTTGGTATCGCGTCCAGAAGTTCGTGCAGGATAAGATGATGAGTGACAAACTGACCGTAACTCCAGCGAAACGCTCCACAAGTGATTAAGCTCGAAGTTTAACAGGGAATAAAATACAATCACATCGACTCCAATAACTCCAGATACATCTCCCCGACCTGTTTTCGCCCCTCATTATCCCCTTGTATCCACTCCTTAGGCGGAAACAGGTCAAACATGCCCACTTTCATTAACAGTGGGATCGCAGCTCTAAGAGCTGTCCTGAGCGTGTCCATTTTGACTTTGTCCCCAGCTGCATGTGCTTCGTTATACGCCCGGATATTGACCAACAGTGCTCTACATCCATCGTCAATTCAGTCCAAATTCCAAAGCAATAAATTAGCGGGTTTGAAGGATTACTTGCCCTACTGTGCCTGTCTGCACTTTGCTGCCATCCGGTAGAGTCACTTCTGGCATCGCAGTGCCAAGCGTTGACGAGTTCAAGGCGACAAGGCTTGCGGCTGATGAGTTGGACATGGTGGTTTGATTAAGTAGGATTTGGGGGTTCTGGAAGTAGTCAATGCTTATTTGACTGTATGAGGTCTGGTGGGGATGATCGCCTTTTTGTATACTCCGTAGTTGAGGCTATGTCCGGAGGCTGTTCCCGGACATGAATGGGCCCTCCGCGGAATTGTCGGGATCTCCGAGCGTAAGCTCGGAGCTGAGCTGGGGTTTTATGTACTCTTACCAGAACAATCTAAAGCAGTCTTGAGATAGTCTTGAATTAGTAGGATGCCGCAAATTGTATCTATCGAACTTCAGTGAAGCCAGTCTCAGCAGGTTGCTACAATCCGGTCCCAATGGTCAAATTTCATTACAAATAAACCATCCCCTAATTTATCCATAACACCCCCTCAATCCGCAAAAGCTTCACCTGCCTCAATAGTCTCGAAAGCGCTCATAGTATGATTCCACACCCTCTGCCTCAGTTCGTCCTTGTTAATCTTCTCATAGGACTTGGTGTTGTAGTTGGTATCGCCATTCTTGCCAAGAGAGTAAGCACCGCTTCCAAGCTCACCATCTGTCCCCACAGTAGTCTCCTCTTTGTTCTGCGAAGAGGTCGCCCCCCGTGGCGGATAACGAGACGACGCCAGGCTCAGCATTCTGTCACCACTCTCGGATGGTGGAACAGTCAGGAAGGGTGCGAAGAAGGGAACAAATATGTAACGCCACAGCACTTTGAACCAAGCAGGCAAGTCATGCTTCTCAAACCCGGGTCCCAATACGAGACCAGGGAAGATGTGTATCAGACTGAGCTTCCCGCGGTTCTGCTCAGCCAAGGTTTCCATGAAGCACACATGCATGTAAATCATATGTGAGCGAACCGTAGAATAAGTATAGTTATTTAGATCGCGCAAAGAGAGGTCGTCGGGAAATAGCTTTTGCTCGTAACCAGCGGCAAAAACCGAAACGACTGTTGCAGGGAGAGTGGATTTGAGTAGCAATGGAAGGAGCTTTGTTATCGCTCTCATGCGAGAGTAGTACATCAAGGACATCGTGACGTCGATACCTTCTTTCGTGTCTGCGAAATTGTCAGAAATGCAGATGTAATCAATGATTTCGAAAGCACCTTTCCGTGGCTGGTATATAGGCCCTCCCTGACTTAGCATGAGGTAGTCGATCCTTGGGTCTTGTTGCTCCTTTTCTTCCATCTGAACAATCTCTTCGCAGACGCGATCAACATTCTGGATTAGCGAGATATCTTCAGTCTGCAAGAATCTGATCTGGGCTTTGGGGCAGATGCCACGACATTCTGCAATAATCTCTTCGGCGGCTTTGATATTTCTGCCAACAATATATGCACGAAAGCCTTTACCACCATTGGCTTCCGCCGTGGCCAATGCACGCAAGGTATAGTGACCAATGCCTGAGGTACCACCAAAGAAGACAGCAACCAAAGGCTGGCGCTGAACTAGAGCAGTGTTCGTGGCACGTACGTCGTCTAATCCGACCATGATAGATAGATACAGTAATGAGAGGTTATGAACAAGAGTATCGAATTTGAGGCAGGGCAGTGAGGCCCGGAGGGTCTCGTATATAAGGGGAAGGGAACCACTCTGCACGGACTTTAGGGGCTTATCGGGGATAGGAGTATCATACCAGTTAATATCCGATGCATCTTATCTCGTGGACAAGCAATGAGCGAAAGGGAGAGCTTGAAAGGGTGCTCGATCCCAGGTACTATAGACCGTACCACGTACAAATTGCCAAATAAGGGCTAGCGTGTCGATCATCCACGGGTCACTGCTCACGTATTACTCTCTTGCCTTCTCCGCGCCACTTCTCACCTCAGAGCTATGGTATCTAATTCAGCCGGTTCTCGAATTGCCCTGGGCCACGCGGCGCCTTAAGCCTTCATGTCATTACTAAACATACTATTATAGCAGCCCTTCAAGAGGATATCCATCGTTCTATCATCGCATTATTTGTTCACTACTGATCCCCGAATCATTGGTCCGTTTCTATTTAAATCGACTCGGTCTAATAGCACCGCGGCTCATGCCCCAAAGGCGCTACCACAATAAGAGCCGACATGGCTGTTTGCAGTGTAAGAATAATCGCACAAAGGTTAGTTACGTGGCTCCGTGTGTGTCCCGTGCTTATCGTAAATAGTGCGACGAAGATAGACCCCAATGTGGCCGATGCAGAAGAATAGGTTCGGCTTGCTCGTTAGCTACTCAGCCAGCGAATCTGGTATTCGTCGCACCCAGAAATGAGATGCCTTCAAATCAGGCCAGAGACGACTCATCTCGTATCAATCACCAATCATCTAGCATTTCCGACGGATATAGCAGCCAATTCCCTACCGATTTGATTTCTGTTGCAGCTTCCACGCCTGGTACGGAACACTCTGACATGGAATGTGACTTTACAGATACAGAAAAAGAACGGCTGAGGTTAATGAATCACTACGCTTTACACACATCAAGAAGTATCACGGACGTCATCATACCACGAGACCAAATCCAATCGTTATGGGGAGAGTGGGTTACTGAGCTGGCTTTCAAACACAACTTTCTGTTGCACGGCCTTTTGGGATTGAGTGCCTTACACTTGGCTCTTGAGGGGGTTTCACCACAGAGACACACGGTCATGGCTATCCAACATCATGATCTCGGTGTCGCAATGTTTCGGCCACACCTTTCTAATATCACACCCGAAAATCATGATGCTGTTTTTGCATTCTCGTGCGTTGTCGTCCTCTATACTTTTGGGATCCAGCGTCCCTCTGAGCCTACAGAAGATCCTATCGACAGGCTTCACCAGGTCTTCTCTCTCATTCGAGGATCATCCTTTCTCGTCAAAGCTGATCACGAAACCATGGTACGTAGTCGTTGGTCCGCCCTGATGTTGCCACATCCGTTTCCACCGACGGTGCTTTCAGCTGAGCTCGAAGATGTGCTAAGCAAACTCCTTTCACGCGCTACAATGGCGCCCGAAGCCGCTCGCATGGGTATATATGAACCGACTATACAAACTTTGAGACACAGCCTTGCAATGGCAATAATGTATCGCCGCATCAAAATGACATTTTCATATTTCGCTGTTATTTGCCCGTCAGAGTTCTGGTCAATGGTGCGCATTGGCGAGCCCTTGGCTCTGGCCATTCTAGCCAATTACGCAGTTACACTCGACTGGCTGCGGAGAAACATATGGATGGCATACTGGGGGAGAGAAATAGTTGTTGCCGTTCGTAAGGCATTGCCGCTAGACTGGCACGAATGTATTGCCTGGGCTGTCCAAGAAACGGAACGCCCATCTGAATTAGATGGGCTCGGGCGTTACTCAGCATCAACATCAGATCCACTGCAAGAGAATGATCAGATTACCACCTCATTGGCATTATAAGTTGCGCGCGGTATCATCTTCGGTGGAAGGATTCCTTGGAGAGACCTCTCACCGTTCCCAAATTCTGACTATCTATCTTTTTGCTCCACGCAGAGCGCCTCCCCATATGAACTGATGTCGTATCCGTTCTCTTCCAAATACGCCTTGAACCTGGCATCCTCGGTTTCCAGCTCTCGCGACATATCCGGGATCAGGAACCACGCTATCAACGCACCAACCATACAGAAAGCCGACCCTATCAGGAAGACGGCTTGTTGACCTTTTTCGGTAGATGAGAATGAGTCCTGAATGGGCGTAAATACTTCAGTCCCAATTGATGCACCCGCCTTTCCAACTGCGGCGGCCAGACCAAGGAAGTGACCACGAAGCGGCGTGGGGAATGACTCTGCGGCGCACAGAAAGGTCGACACACCGGGGCCCATCTCACCCAGGGCGTTGAAAATGCCGTACATAACGACGAATAACGGGAATACTGACTGTATCGGGCGAAGAGCGCCGCCCAGAACGAAGCCCCATATACCCCAGAGCACGAAGCCGAGAGTCATGTTCTGCTTTCTTCCAATTTTATCCATCAGGAGCCCTCCCAGTAGGCAGCCTGGGAGATAGAAGCAATTAACAACCGTCTGGTGGACCATATCAGCATCTCGATATCATGAAATCCGGCTGCTCAGTTCACGTACACCGTACCCAATATTTTCCACTGTTGTATTGTTGGGGCTCAGTTGAGAGATAATGGTAGAAGTGAAGAGTCCAAATGGATACGTGACAAAGTCGTAGCAGAACCAAGCGAGAGCTAAGATATCAGGACGGCTATCGCAATTATAGGACCAACACTTACAGGTTCCCAGTATCGGTTTCCAATACCTCCGAAGGACTAGCCAGTATGGATACCGCGACTTTATGGCGTGCTTGCGATATTGCTTCGAGTTGATCATGCGAATCCGAAAAAAACACATGAAAACCGGGATCTGTCACAGTTTTCAATACATCACTTTGTGCTGAGGGTTCTTGGAGCATACCACAAAACCAAGCCCAAAACAGACCCTCCAAACACCACTCTTGACATCCTGGTGGAAGCAAGCGAGAACAATGAGAGCCACAATACCGGCGGCCACGAAGCCCTAAGCATAGTTCCATTGAGTGACATGAAATCCAGTCCGATGAGATTGATACGCGTACCATATCCACAGCAAAATCTGTGGTTGACGCGACCAGAAATCCTCTCTTCTTTCGAAGGTTTGCAGTCTCATCAGCGGCCTCAGTTGCACTGGTTGCGCAGACAGGATACTCGCCACCAGCTCCGAACCCAGCGATACCGCGAGCAACAATCATCATCCAAAACATCCTAATCAGAGTCAAAACTTCTGGTTGATACTTCGTTCGATTGAAGCGAGTCTCACCCCAACTCCGAGGTACCGTGTGCTGCAGCAGACAAGATGATACCAAGCACCAAGAACAAGGTAGTCGCCACCACTCCTGTCCGTCTTCCTACTCGGTCAATCAAAGCACCGAAGAAGAGCATACCAAAGATCTCTCCAATAAGGAAGGAATTCGATAGTCTGGTTTTGATGCTTGAGGACATGGTATTTTTATACCTAATGCCAATGAATGCGTCAACAGATAGCCCTAAGCTACGGGCCTCCTGAAGGGGACTAACAAGACAGAGAACAAAGGCTCCATGTAGCCGACTTTGCGGGTGAGATTAGTGATTTTTCTTATGCAAGCTGGGCATGGCATGCTAAGCACAGGCTTCGCTAAAGGTGAACTCACTGATCTGAGCATTATAGCCATCACTGAAGAGTCCCAGTCCCGAGATGACAACGTTCAATACACCTGATGAAGCCCGTAACTCACCATCTTCGATGGAATTGGTGTCGTCTTGCTTCATTATCTCGCCTTGATGGCTATGCTTCATGGTGGTTTCAACCCGTTCGGTCGCGGAGCAATTGGTTGCTACAGCCATAATAGAAGATGCCAATGTGTCGACTGTAGAGAGATGTCCATTGGGCAAAAGGAATGACTGCGAATTCGTGGGCTATAGTCTGTCCTTAACTTGTCCGTTGCATCCTCACTACATCTACTTCAGTGCGGCTAATAGTTCTCTGGGCAACAATAGACTCCTCGAGAACGTGCCATGCTATCCAATAGCAGCCGGAATGGCTCGCACGAGATACATAGTGTTGCATCGCTGCTGGCAGATAAACCCGCCTTTCGTACAATAGGCGGAGAGTTTTCGGCGAGGTCTATCTAATGTAACAGAAAGACAAACTATACCCAGTCCAGACAGGGCCCTGGCGGGGATCTCCGCCTCGCTTAGGCAAGAAGGCCCGTAGTCCGGCGGGGCTTATCAGGACGGCCCGCGCCCTATGATAGCGCCTCGTCCCGGGCACATGGGCATTTTATCGCATCCTGAGTGGTTCTATGCCTCGGAATACCTTCAAGGATCAGCCTGTCTCGTGCCTGGCCTCTGCGCAACCCCTCGCTGACCCTTCTGCCTCGTGCTCCGACATTCCCCACTCTGGATCATGGACCTCGCACCGGCCCGGCATAGTGACATATGAAGGTCGGCAGCTGGAAGTAACGTTCACGAGCAAAGGGACTCGCATTAGAGGATTTATGGGTGCGATGGCCCCAATCTCGGTCGGGAGAAAGGACATGTGCTCTCTGCAGATTGAACCGAAGTTTTAATCCGATCATAGCAAGACTGGCATCATGGATAACAGCTATTACACATTGACGGAGGACCAACTCCAGTTTTACGAGGAGAAGGGATACTTGCTCATCCAGGGCTTCTTCAACCCTCCTGAGACCAAGGTCCTACAACAGTGGACTCAGGAAGTACACGACCTCCCAAGGACTCCAGATGCAACGTATATGCCCTATGAGGTGAGATCCAAGTGTCACCTTTCTTAGCAGCTGGCTGGCGAACTTATCCCGGCTGCAGGAAGTCAATGCCGAAGGCAAAAGGGTCCTCTGCCGCACAGAAAACTATGCCAATTCTCATGCTGGCTTCGACAGTTTTCTGCGTGGTGAACGCATCTTAAGCGTTCTCCGGCAGCTAGCTACAGAGGACATGATCCTATTTAAAGAGAAGATCAACTACAAACTCGCTGGTAGTGGTAAGGAAAAAACATCTGCTGCACTGGGCAGAAAAGCAGCTAATACGACGCAGGGGGCTTCTCTCCTCATATCGACGCCAATGCATACACCCACGTCAAGAAAATCAAGCACCTGACAGTGCTTGCTGCTGTTGACGAGATGACCTCAGAGAATGGTGGACTTGACGTGGTCGACGGCAGTCACCTTATGGAGGTACCACTTGGAGAGGACCGCTGCATTGAGCCTGGCTGGGTCAAGAGCCAAACATGGACGCCTTGTAATCTACAACCGGGTATGTTTGTTCTGATAAATCTGATCTATTTAGTCACTAACCATCAGTTCACTCAGGTGACGTTCTCGTTTTCGGCTCCTACCTTGCCCACAAGAGTGGCGCCAACACTAGCTCCAAGGACCGACGCGCAATCTACGCCACATACAACCGCTTGGCTGAGGGTGACCTGCACGATCAGTACTATGAGGATCGCCGCAAGCTGTGGCCTGCCACGCACATGCGGAAAGAGGGAGAGGCGTATGAGGAGGGCAGAATGCGGTATGGCTACGGCTCCCCGATGCTGACGGTCGAGGGTCAACAGCCGGTACTTGCGTAGCGTAAACGTAGGGTGCAATTTCATGATTTCATAGCTTGCTGAGAACGGGCATATAAGACATTTGGAAGAAAGGAGTCGATAGTCTGGCGTAATACATATTAAATCTATACCACGAAGTAGTAAACCATGTAGATCAAACGATTGTTCACCACATAGCAACATCTATAATTAATAGCTCACGCAGTCAAGAATCCAAATCCCAATAATTCCAAGACAGATATGATATTCATAATTCAATTCGGCATTTTCATTATGAACCAAATAAAAGCGAAAGCACGTGGGTTCATGAAACCAGCAGAAAATCGCTCCTATATAACCCCTCTTCCTCTAGTCACTCATCCCACATCCACATCATTTCCCTCCCTGCAGAGCATACCACCTCCACACACCTTCCCCCCTGCCCAACTCCTCATGATGACCCTCAAAACCCCCCTCGAAAAAGCCACCTATCTGGTGACCTCCCTCGAAGAGTACGGACAAGGCGACTACATCGGCGAATCCATCAGCCAGCTCGAACACTGTCTACAAGCCGCGCACCAAGCCCGAAAATCAGGTACGAGAGCTGCTCAACCACTTGAACACCAAACCATCACCATAAGAAACGAACAAAATAGACTGACAAAATAAACTCCTTCCAGGCGCATCCCCCGAACTAATCCTCGCCGCCCTCCTCCACGACATCGGCCAAATTATCCCCCTCTCATCCACGAAGGAAGTCCGGATGAACCTGAAATCCAACAGCGATGACAAAGATACCGAGAATGTCGGTCGGATGGGTCACGAGACTATCGGAGCGGAATACCTTCGTTCACTGGGCTTCAGTGATAAGGTTTGTCGGTTAGTTGAGAGTCATGTTCCTGCGAAGCGGTACATTACACCCTCCCCTTGAGTCCCACAACTACTATATGTAGATCGTATACTGATAAGAAGACAAATGAGTGTGTGGTAGATACCTCACCGCCACAGACAAAGCATACTACGAGACATTGTCATCCGCATCGAAGAAATCACTCGAGTTCCAAGGCGGACCGTTTAAACGCGCAGAGTTGGTGGCTTTTGAAACGGATCCCTTGCGCGATGAGATGGTCAAGTTGAGGCTTTGGGATGATGCGGCGAAGGTGCAGGGGATTGAGGAGAGTACGCCGAGGGCGGGGGAGTATCGGGATTTGATTCGGGTGCATTTGGAGGGGGTTTGTTAGGGTAGATGCTAAGGTTTTTGATGAATTATGGTATGGAAGGATTGTTACGGCTAGGATGAAAGGTATAGTGTATAATGTCGATGACGACAGTGACAAATATCTGGGAGAGGTGTCTATTTTGTAGACAAAGTTATAGTTCTCAACTTCTGAGAAGCGTGGCTCTATCCTGAAGTAGGATTAGCATGCAAACATACAAGCTTCAACCCCTCGACACAAGTCAATAACCAAGCCGTACGAGATAAACAGCCTTTCCAATTTATTCATTGATGCATACAGTGAGAAAATGAAATTCTAATTATTGGACCCATTCCTTAAACAACGCTCTGTCGCAAAAAGAGAAGCATCTTGCAGGACGGTAGGTATCCGGAGCGGGAGAAAAAAAGATGCATTGTCGGGGAGTCGAACCCCGGCCACTCGCTTGGAAGGCGAGTATCATAACCGTTAGACTAACAATGCTTGTTGTTATAAATGAGGTTTACTCTATGTTTATATCCCATTGTTGCAAAATGTGTATTCAATAGTCAATATCCTATGAAATAGAATAGCAAACACCACACTCAGTACTACTAAGTTCGACAGATGACAGTCAAAAGGGTAGGATATTGCTTTTTGCAAGGCTTGATTTGTTTAGTGCCGTCAGGGACCACGAAGGTGAATCGATCGGTTCCTCTCTTAGGTCGGACGGCCGTGGTAGAGGGTAGTAGCTGCTGTACACTGCTTTAGGTGGCATAGTTTCGCAGTCGAAGAAATGCAATTGGTTGCTTTCTAACAGAGATAGTGCGATGCGGATGATTTGCTTGCCAAATCAAGTGGTTCGTTACATCGCTCGATATGAGGGTAGTGAGGGCCGATCGATAAACTACTACCTGCGTGGGCATACGAGCATTCTGCGAGAAGCTTCACTGCTACAATGGCCGAGATTGAGGAAGTATTTACGGAGCAGCCATTCCACAAAGACAGGTCATAACGAATCGGTCATATCGACGTAGATCATATACGTACAGAGAAACGCGTTTGATCGATAACAGCCACTCGACACATTATAAACATCATGTGCCAGTCAAAGACTTGGTGTATTCCAGACCAACTTCTAGATATCATTTGACCATCAACAGTGTAACCAGACGCCATAAACACGCACACCCAGACCCATGGATTTTGCACCAGAACCCAACACCCACAACCGCACCGAAGAATTGCCAAAAAGAAAGGGTAAAGTCAAAGCGCAGGTAGCAAAGAAGAGAAAATACGCGGGACTATGCACATATTATACCCCGGCAGCAACAATAGGCAAAAAGTAGAAATGAAGAAAAGGATATCTGAAAAGGCTCAAGAGCGCGGAGAAGAAAAGAAGTATACCTGCGCCGGTGAGGCGTTTATTTCACCCGCGTGGGACTTCCAGCACTGCCAACGCGGCCGCTAGCCTTCCGAACCTTCGTCTCACTCCTCGTGTCTGTTGCACGCCTGGGACTCGTCCGAACCTTTGTTACTGCGATCGCTCCACTGCCACTCTTGGTGCTGACAGGAGTCTTCGGTGCTGCATACGCGGCAGCATCGCCCCAGTTCTCTCGATCATCGTCATTCAGGGTGTAGCTAGCAGTTACCGTAGCAGAGTAACTGACGGACCGCTGACTGGGAGATGCGACAGGGGATCTGGAGGAACGCTTCGCCAACATACGCAATTGGATCTCCTCTTCACTCTCGCTGCTGTCGTTGCTAAGACGGTGGTGTCTATGGCTGGTCTGTTCGGAATTCTTATTGCCATCCTTGTCGACAACCAAGCTTCCAGATGTGGTACGGGCATAGGGATGATGGCGGGAGTCTTTTCTGTGTGACTTGCGAGGCTGTCCAGGAGTGGGTGCGGGGAGGTACTCTTCCGCCGGGGCCCCAGCTCCTTCGTTGTGGTCGATCTCGCCAAGAGCAGCACGCTTAGAATGGCCGTTGTTCGGCGGCGTGGCGACAGGTCCGTTGGCCCGCTGTCTGGTAGATGGCCGTCCAGGGGTGATGGGAGCAGCCTGCATCTGAGCCAGCTTCTCCTTCATCGAGTCCTCGTACCACCACTCGCGGAAAGAGCCCTGGTTGAGGTGTAGCCAGTGCTGTTGAGGACCGACTACCATGCCTGGTCGCATGAATCTCATGAAAGCAATGATCTCGTTGGCAGTAAATCCGTATCTGTAGATGAGGTACGCGCCGATTAAGCATCCAGTCCGTCCCAGACCGGCCTTGCAGTGAACAGCAATGCCCTTCTTCTTAGAGATCGTTTCGTGTGCCATTTTGATGAAGCGACGCACAAGTGGCAGGGGAGGGCAGGTTCCGTCTTCAAAGATCATATCCACATGGGTGATCCCCAGAGCCGTGAAGTAGGAGGGAGAGTACAACTCGGAGTTCAGTCTCACAACAAGGCCGATGTTACGGGATGAAAAGTGCGCCAGAACGTTTTTGAAAGGAAGAGGTAGCTTTGAAGAAAGGACTTCAGAGACGGTGGATGGAAGCGCTGCGAACTCGGGCGTGTTTTGAGGGATTGGCGCAATCGGTTGGTGTTGCGGCGAGGCGAAAGCGAGGAACTGCGGGGTGATCCAGTTGAAATCACCCATGTCAACACGCTCAAACTTTTCGTATCTAACAAAGATGTCAGTAGAGTCAATAAAAGCCAATTGCTATTATCCATACTCTTCAAGACTAAAGTCCCTGAGGCTGCAGAGCGACTGCTCCTTAGCTTTCCACACACCATAGACGACATCCTGGATGTTTAGAATGAAATCTGCCTGACTATAGCCTGCGTCACGGAATGGCATGTACGGGGGATCGGCTTGCGCAATTGGTGCCAGGGCGAGGTGCGGGGGCCAGGCCTGGATCAGGACCATGTAGCAGGCAACCAGGCAAGCAGCATTAGCACGGCTTCGTGCATCCGTCTTAGAGTAGAACACCACTGCACGATCACGGTTTTCAGGCTCCCCAAGAATCTCGTGGAACTGGACCGCGAACCGATACAAGTGACCGATGTGTAGAGGGCCGAAATCGGCATGGAATGAGTTGTACAACAAGACATCATCTACTGTGAAATAGACGGGACTGCGCTTCTTGCTAGGAGTGCTAGGCTGAGCCCTCGCAGAGCGCTTGGACGGTGATCTCGGCTGCTCCAGGGGATAAGGAAATGGGGTTCGTGCATCGGGAGGGTTATCGTAGGAGGCGAGGTAGAGACGATCTGTTTTGCCCGAACAATTAGCAAGCTGCACATAAACACTTCAACTGACGATGTAGTTTCCAGCTGTTGCTAATCCAACATGCTCATCGGCGATGGCAGGAAGCTAACGAACCTTGAATATATTCAATCACTTGCCCATAACCACTGTTGGTAGCCATCTTGACTTGGGCGATGCGACAATCAAAACAATAGTCGCTAATGGGGGCAACGTGTAGTCCGAGGAATGAGGGAAGGAAATACTTGACAAGATGAACCTGTCAAGAGATGCAATGCTGCAATTGAAAGGAGTCGAGGAGCTCTGTCGATTGATAGAAAAGTAAACAAAATAACAGTTCTGGACTAAAGGCTCATGATCTGATCTGTTGGCGCTCCTAAACAAAAGGTGATGCAAATAAGACACGGGTGCCGATAGGGTAAGGATAGCACGAGGAAGTCCAGGGGAGGAGGAGGAAGATATACACGAGCCCGGACAGGGAGCGGTAGAGGCTGGAGACCGACAGTGCGGAGCGTGAGGGGAAGAGAGAGGAGAGGAAGTGAGGGAAAAGTTGGCCGCACGAGAAGAAGATAGGCTCGAGGCCGATGAGTCTGCTTTGGGGGGCAACTGCGATGCACGCTCAGTGGCTGCTGTTATGTTGTGATTCCCCTGATCCGGCCTAGCGGCCGCCGTTGACAGGACAACGTATGGTGCCTCAGGCTGCCGTAGCTCCGGGTGATGTCCCTGACCGTCACGGGACTGTCATCTTAGTCAGCTTCCGCTGCCTCTCCACAGGCAAACCGATCAAACAAACGGTCCGCCACACCCATCCTCACCAGCCACAAACATTTGCACCCCTAACCATGTGACAGCCCGTGACCTTTGTTTGTTTTGCGGCCATTGTTGTTGGTATCAGGATGGTTGTCGCATCAACTTGGTCCCCTCATCAGTATGAAGGTCTCACCATCCGGATTGTTTCTTCAGCCAGCCCTCACTTAAACTTTTCTCTGTCATTCCTGCTGTGTTCAGTTCTGCAATTCTGACCAGGATTTACTTCACCTGTCTGAAGCTAGTCATGTCGATATATATATATAGTGGACCACATATGTCTTCAACATTACGCCACGATGGTACTCACAGACGAAAACTTCAGACAATCGCGCAGCACTGATATAAGTGATTCTGATAATGGGCTAGAAATATGAATCCAGCAACTACCAAGTAGAGCTGCGCATGACTAAGGACGACAAACTACAGACAATTCTGCTTGCTCGTTTAATTGCAAAGGCTGCAGTTCCCGCTGACCCTCTTGAGTTCAGGTTACCTGTTGATCCTTCCACACCAACGCCTCACTTGACTCAGTCTACTGTTACCTACCCCTACCACTACACACATACTCCTCCCATATCAGCAGCACAGCGCAGAGGGAAAAAGTCACTGGTGTGGACTTCGTCATTCGAAAGCTCCTAGCCTCTGACGTCACCCATCGTGCACCTGAAAGCCAAGCCGTCCTGTACCTGACTAGTAACTATCTAACAGGACTAATGGAGTACTTCAACCCACAGGACATACGATTACTACTGGAAAAACTTTGCTTGGTAATGGATGAAGGCCCTTCCGACCGTGGTCAGGTACCGGAGGTGCTTGCCGATGATACTTTCGTCTGAATCTCGGCCGATGACGGGGTCATTGAGCTACCGCGAACGCGAATGATGTATGGTATGGACAGTCTCAAAAATGATATTTAGTGGGGATGCTATACTCGGTTAGCGTATGGGTGGTTAGCAAGCCGATTGCGGTTGGAATCTGCGCCTTATCGTTATGCTGATCGCTCTGCCCAACAACGGTTCTCGAAAATGTAGTGGGTGGATCGGATCGACAGGGATGGAGGTAGGTACCTGGCAACCTGGCAAGCAGACAGCGGCTGGCTTTTCTGCGAACCTAAATCACTTGCACACCATCACCTTGCCATTGCTGGTATTGATTTCGTCGCGCCGCTGTGTTCAAACTCCCTTTTGCTTGATTACACAAAAAAAAAAAAAGGACTACGCGATTAATAGTAATCTGCTCATTGAGTTGCTCCTATCGAACGCTTCCCTTCGACTGGGACCAGGATTTTGGTTACTTCGCCGAGCTAACAGCTGACTATAAGCCTTTGAAACTTCTGGGTCAATGATAACCATGCCGAACAGAACAGGAATATACAGGATAAGGTTCCGCGGGGTTTCTGGGCGAGCCCCACGCTGCCCACGGAGGTTTAATGAGGTACAGACATTAACCTCCGCAGTGCTGCCAATGCAACAGTCTTGACCATCATCGGCAATCGCATTCAAAGTGGAGCATCATTTAAGATTTCACTATTGAATCCCTATCCCACGGTAGGAGAAAGGGACAGAGGTCAATTCATACCCGCCCACCTCAAGCACTATCGATTCTTGTCTGAAATTTGGTCATGGCATACTACGATGTGAGAGACAAATAATCACCAACACTTTTCAGCACCATAATATGCACCAACGAACGGATACCGTTTGCATCATCAGAACTGCATGAATGAGTATGGTTCTATATGCGACGTAAACCCATATGGTCAGAGCAGGCTGGCATCAACTTTGCCTGCTATCTTCTTGATAGCTTGGGGGCTTGGATTAAGCTCATCGGATGAATGGCGTTCTACCATCCCATCTGAAACGACGGAGTGGTGTCATTGGATCTCGATGTCGATCCTCATTCATGCGAGCTCCTAAGGTGCCCGATTCGATGGATATGGAAGTCAGCTTCATTGCCAACTTCCCCTGAATCAAAGCCCAGCACGAAATCTCTTCCAGTGTCGTCTATTTAATGGAGTGTCCTCCCAGTTGCTGTCCTTTCTCTTCCCAAGCACTTCGCTCACTGTCAGTCGTTCTCTAAATCTCCAAACCCTCATTCGCTCCTTTACAGCAACTACAAAACACTCACTATCTTTCTTTATCCTATTCCTCCAATCAACAATACATCACAATGAAGTTCACTGGAATTGCTGCTCTTGCCCTCGCTGGCAGTGTCTCTGCTGCCGCTATCCCGGTTGTGGATACTACCGTCCAGTCTACTCTTAGCCAGCTGACCGGCGTTCTCGGAAAAGTCGACAATGTTGTCGGTGGCCTTGTTGGCTGCGCTACCACCGACCTCACTGATCTGAAAGACGGTATGCTATCTACGGCCGTGAAAGTTTGCTAGGGAGACCCACTAAGATTAGATATGTAGAACTTTCCACCATCGAAGGCAAGCTGACCCAGCTGCTCCCTTCCAACAAGCGTGACCTTACCGGCACTGTCGGTGGCGTTGCTACGCCTGTGGTCGGAATCGCTGGTGATGCCGCTGGCACCGTTAAGGGTGTTGCTAGCGGTGCTGTTAACACTGTTGGAAACGTTGTTGGTGGAGCTGTCAACACTGTCGAAGGTGTTGCTTCTCCTGTTGTCAAGACAGTTGGTGGTGCTGTCGACTCTGTCGCCTCCCCTGTTGTCAACGCGGCTGGCGGAGCCGTCGGCACTGTCAAGGGAGCAGCCAGCGGTGTTGTCTCTGGTGGTATGTACAATAACCCAGATCCATGTCCAATAGCTAAGATTATACCAGCTGTCAACCTGAAGCGCGACATCACTGACCTTTCTGGTCTTTCTGAGACCCTTGTCGCCAAGATCCAGAGCGGTAAGTGAAATCCTGAGTATGAGTGGTAAAGTAAGCTTACTGACTCTTCCAAGGTGACCTGACCGCTGGCGCTCTTGAGAAGGTCCTGGACCTCCTCAGCCAGAATGGTAAGTTGATCTAAGAAAATCTCGAAGTAAACATCGCTGACAATGGCCTAGGAGGTCTTGCCAACCTTCAGTCCGTCCTTTCCCTTGTGTAAAAGGATGACCCGTTCAAACAATTTCTGCCTCCTCCCACGACATACACTCCTATATCCAGTGATGTGTCATGGAAACCTTCGACCAGGGAAACCTTAACGAAGTCATGACTTTGTGGGAGAGCGGTTCTGTTGTACATTCGAGCGTATCTTCTCTGTTGGCCGAGGAGAGCAGCCTTGGGAGACTTCCGCCTGCCGTATATATACTTTGATACCAGAATAATTGTAATGTCTTGAAGCCACACTCATTCTGCTGCCTTGTAGTCGATGAAGGAAAGTAAAAAGATGATTATGAATAGCATGGATAAAATTGCTCGATGATAAACCCACTGTTTCTAATCTTTTCACATTATATTGGCAATGGCGTAACCTGGCTACCCAGAACAAATGTTCAGTACTCAACTAGAAAACGGTGGCTGAAATGCTTTGCAATACTGCTTGCGAGAAATAATAGGCTGGCAGACGTCGCCAGGCCATATATATTATCAGTAACACTTGTTGTAGCCTGAGGCCGCAATGCTTACTCATGCCTTATCGCACATCCCACTCTTTCCCCGCCTCAATATCAATCTTTCTCCCCAGCGTTGCGCTCTTTATTACACGAATTCGAGTTGCTGTTGCATTGAACTCACTTAAACCTCCTACTCTCTCAGAAAGACATACGCATATCACCATGGCCTCCAACGGAACCCCCTCCGAATTCCCCTACACCCTGTAAGAAGAGCCAAACTCTCCTTGGGCATATCACCTCAACACCACTAACCAACAACGAATCCCAACAGAACAATCTCTCTCCCTCTCCCTACCAACCGCCTGGCGTCCGCCGCCCTGCGCACCCTCGAGGTTGACACCGAGCTCTCCCCCTTCGTGAAGCGCAGTTTCGCCCTGACAACGCCGACCAAAGAGCAAACCGCCGACGAAGAGGCCAAAACTGTGCTGGAGACGACCTACTGCGCGACGACGAATCGCATGCTGCGTGTCTCTGTGAATGGCTTTATGGAAAACCTGGCAGTGGTGCTTGGAGTGATGGAAGAATTGGACGTGGATGTTCTAGATGAGGATGATGAGAAATGAATGATGGGTCTGTCTTAGTGCAGATGGAGACAGGAAAAGCAAATGCGAGGTTTACTGTGCTATGTTATGCTACACGCTACATGGGACATCTCATGAGGGTTAGATGTGCCCGATTATTGGGTCGATCAAGACTATATCGGTATTTTGCCGCTGGCCATGATCGTTCGGACGGAACACGGATACCGGATGTTCCTTGCGGTGCAGGCAAGCCGCGTCCGGGGGGTTGTGGATGGGAGATGTGCGTACCGTGGATGGGGCAAACCACCAACGTACCTTTGTGCGTGGGCTTGTTCGGCGATGGGGCTTGAATTGTGATTCGAGTCAGGAGTGTGTATAGCTGGTTGGGTAAGATGTGGATATCGTGGAATGTGGTCTGCCGAATTATACGATGTGAGGGTCTAGAATGAATATATCACTAATGCTGTGTCTTCTCATAATGAAGTCTGGCAAGGGTAACGGATAGATACGAAGATTATACGGAGCCCCAGTCCGGAAAGAGCCAATGCCACTAAGCTCCAATAGCCGTGCATGATGACCATGCCTTAATTTAAAACCCCAGAACCTACAATATATTGTATCCACCTCGAGTCTCAAGTATTTGGAATTCCTAAATGAACCACCAGTGCACTGATCAGAACACCCAATATCCCCCGATCACTAATCAATCCCATTGTGCATAATAATCCTGCATCCTCAACCAACCACAATCGCCATAAATGCAACCAAACCCAAAGCAGCAAAAGCGCCGGTGGCGCCGTAACGGGAATTTACACGTGCAACAAACCCCAAGCCATTTTTGGGCCCGAAACCGTATCGATCGACCCGCAATCATTCAGGCCATTTTCTGCTAATGATGACATCGATACTGGTTCGGGTTCCGGAATCTCTTGTTCCCGATCCATCTGGTTCCATTTCCCCTCCTCTTTGGGATTTGCGCGCCTGCGACGATTATTGACTGCTGGACCCCCTCTTCTCTTCTCTTCTCTTCTTAGTCGCTGATGCGTTTGTCATCGATCATCCCATTCACTGATTTATCATCCTCAAGGTCGAGACTCACCTCATCAACTACATATCTACTTGCGCATTCCCTGGTACCAGTCCGATTCATCAGAACTACTACTCCTACTGGTCCATATCACCTTGCGACATCACTGCGATCAAGCCACCGGAACATTTTTCCTCTCCAGCGCATTCACTCTCCACCATCCCTTTCGTCACATTCATCAAGACTACTATCAACCATGTCTTCTGCGACTACCTTTTACGACTTTGAGCCCGTCGACAGTACGTTATTCACCCTCCTTTACTTCCTTTAACCCCACCCCCTAGCTTCATACCCAACTAACCACCCCTCCCCTCTCAACAGAAAAGGGCTCCCCCTTCCCCCTCACCGACCTCAAAGGCAAAGTCGTCCTCGTCGTCAACACCGCCTCCAAGTGCGGCTTCACGCCTCAGTTCCAAGGCCTCGAGAAGCTCTACCAGGACATCAAGTCTAAGCACCCGGAAGACTTCACCATCATCGGATTCCCCTGCAACCAGTTCGGAAGCCAGGACCCCGGAACCGACGACGAAATCCAGTCCTTCTGCCAGATTAACTATGGAGTGACCTTCCCCGTGCTGGGCAAGTTGGACGTGAATGGCGACAAGGCCGCGCCGGTGTGGACATGGATGAAGGAGCAGCAGCCCGGTCTGTTGGGGCTGAAGCGCATCAAGTGGAACTTTGAGAAGTTCTTGATCTCGGCGGATGGAAAGGTTGTGGGTCGCTGGGCTAGTTTGACCAAGCCCGAGTCGTTGGAGGAGCCGATTCTGAAGGAGATCGAGAAGGCAAAGAAGGAGGGCTCCTTGGCTTCGTTGAAGAAGGAGGAGGCGACTGCTTAATTTGTGTGCCGCTGGTGTGAGATGATATATATATTATTTTCGTGTGAGAGGACGGGTGTTTGGTTGGGATGATACCATGCAGCAGTAGCTGCTGCTGCTGTCTTTTATACTATACTGAGTATTATATAATGGCTGTTACGCTACACTAGGCGACTGGTGGTTGCGAAACGAAACTCTTCAACTGCCGAGTTCTGGACAGTGTCGTTAATTTCATATCAATTCATATGCTAATCTAATTCTCTGTGTTTCAAATCATGCTGCAGCGCTACCCTTAGGGATCAAATTGCGCAAAGAGAGATCGTAAACCACATCCTCCACCTTCTTGACCTGTACCATCACATTAGCATCCCGTAACTTACACCCACCTTCCACAGGTGGAAACTTACACTGTATTTAATCCCATCACTCCTCTTCCGCAGAATATCATTCTTCAAATTCAACAACTGGAATCCCGCAAACAGATCCTTGATGAAATTGCCGATCTGCACTGGCCGGGTGTAGTCACCGAGAGTGACCGAGTTGACAGCCAGGCGGGCCTGTCACATCTTCTATTAGCAAAACATGCATTCCGATAGCAGACCAATATCCGGGGAGGGGGTGACTGACCAACTCCTCAACCATGGAAATCAGCGCAAGCAGATACTCCTCAATAGTGAGATGGAAGGCATCCTGTTCCTTGAGATTCACGGGGACTAGAGATTATCATTAGAACCAAGTTCACACTCTGACTTTCTCAAAGATAGGAGATAGAAAGAGAACGTACCACCCAGGAACTTCCCAACCTCTTCAATCGTCAGGAACGAAGAGGAGCTGTTCGTCTTGTACTCTTCCAGTCCGCCTAGCCAAGCGCAGAGCTCGATCGATGAGACCTATTGGTCGGCTAATTAGCTCTTATCTGCAACAATCAGATTCCAGTAATAGAAGAGGCACGCACAAGGTTCTGCAACTCGCGCGTCCACACCCCATTGTACTTGTAAAACGGGTGCTTGTCCGCCACGGTCTTCAACCGAGATACTTCATCCCTCTGGGCGATGATCTCCTTGGTTGCGTCATCGAGGACGGGTTTCACTGTTCGTATTAGCTATATCCCTTGAATACCCTTCAGATAGATGGAGAAAAGAGTGTTACATACACTGATCAGTGGGTGTAGAATGAGCCCGCGACAGAATTGCCTGGGTAGATCTTCCTATCCAGAGTATTAGCCAAGCGAACCCCTCAAATTGATAATCCCCTCAATGCGATATTTGAGAGAGAACGGAATGAATAAGTAAATACCCTTCCTAGCCAGCGTCTGCACAATATCATGAAGTTCCTGTACATCTCGTCAGCACAGCGGCACTTTGCTTTCGGGTTTGTTTCTGCGCTTGGCGCGGGCACGGGTCAACTTACATCGCGGACCGCAGCCTCCTCGTCAATCTTGGCCTGCAGGTCTTCGAAGATGTTATGATCGATCATCTTAGTTTGTGCGTTTATTATCTGATGTGTTGCGGTGGATGATACTAAATCGATTGGGATTCGCGTTGCGGGAGAGATGTTGATGAATGTTACGTCAGGGAAACAAAGCTGAAAAGAGAAATTGTGGGGCAGGTTTTCTGCCGCTTTGGAGGCTTGGGTTTTATATCACGGCGGATGGCTACCAGTAGAGAAGATGGGTGAGGTTACTGCAGAAGAGTATATTAGGTTCACTAACGGGTTTTGAGAATGTTGGTGAATTTGATGTTTATATTTTACTATTAGTAGCGCCTTTCAGGTTCAACTTGACTGCAATGCCACTACGAAAGCAAGATACACCCCACCATGCAGCTGCTCCTAATTACAAGCAAGAGTCACTAGTGATAGAGAACATCACATTCATCTTAATTCTAACCTAACGAGCCTCTAATAAAGCCCACACATTCATAAGTCATAGCAAAACTCAAACAATCCAACCCCACAACAAGCACGACAATCAGTAGCGGTACCTCGTCGAGTAATCTACAGCAGAAATCATGCATCAGCCAAACCATCCAGCCAGCACAAAACATAAATCAAGATAATAGATAGACTTACCCTTCGGACTAACAACCAGACCACGTCCCTTCTTCGCACCCTTGTAAATGGTCTCAATGATATCGATCATCTCCTGCTTGTCTTCAAGCACCCAGTTCAACTTGTTGTTGTTACCCGTGCCAAAATCACACATCATGTGTTTATTCCGATAGAAGAACATGATGGTCATTGGGTCAAAGAGTTCGTACATCGTGTTGAACTCGGGTACCTCGTCGATGTCGCAGAGGTAGATGACAGCGAAGTCTGGTTGGACAGTTAGTCACTGAGATTTTCTTTTCTTTTCTTTTCTTTTTTCCTTTCGAAGATAGTGGTATGGGAAAGAGAAATGGATAAATAATTTCTTGACGTACTCTTCACTCGTTCGGCGATCTTGAAAAGGACTTCGTCCTGACGCATGCCTACAAGTCACTGTATTAGCACTGTCTTGTTCTGATAAAGAGAGATTCGTGATGTCCTACAGTCAACATCGTGATCGCGACCGAATCGGATGACCTATACAGATTTGATTAGTATCATCTGCTGTGTTCGGGGACCTTGACTTGGGGATATGTATACGCACCACAAGTCTGTCCTCCTCGGAAAGAATAGCCTGGTCGACGTGCCAGGCTGTACGCAGATGCGGGAGAACGACGGAACCCATGATGACGACTTGTAGTCCTTTAACGCTATGTATGGCACTTCTAGTTGGTGTTATCGAGAGGAAATTGTTGGTGTTCTTGCAAATTGCAAGTGATGTAGTTGATAGAGATCACGTGGATGAGGGGGTAGAAACGAAGAAGTTGTTCCGCTTGCTCCTTCTCGAAGTTTCGGATGAGGCTTCTAACCAAGTGCTCTCCGGATTACTGGATTACAAGACCCAGGAATAAAATGGTTGTATATTCTATAAAGTATCTACTGCATCACTTTCTTCTCCAACCAATCGGACAAGCCGACCAAATTGATGAAAAAAGGGTTGTTCGCGTCAATCGGGGATAGTGTAAGCCCGATGACACTGTGCAGCAAGACATGCGCAAGCACAGAGGTCTCGCCACGGGGTGCAAAAATAAGATTAATCAATGTTGTGTTCCTTAGAACACTTTCAGAGATTAAACTGAAAAGAACAGATACTACACTTGATCTAAGCCAAAAGGCAAAGAGAGCTGGAGAAGAAAAGAAAAAAGATTCTAAAAGACGGGGGGCGCGAGAGGTATATATAGGTTTGGCTAGGTGGCCCGTGCGGAACACACCGGCTAGTGCCGTTGAGGTGGCCAACAAGCGAGAACTGCCCTCATGACTAAGACAGCTCTCATTGGCCCAGCCATTCACCCAGTCAGATGATAAACAGCTGCCCTAATCAGCGGACTGAAAGCCCTATCCACATACCCAAAACGGATTAGTGACACGCACTTGTCCGACTCGAGCATCTCCATCGACCTTCGACAATTTCTCTCCCCAAGGCGCAGGATATACACCTCTTTGCGACCAGCTAATCCCTCTTTCTATCCCCTCAAAAAACCCCCTCCCATCCGTCACAATGGCCCCCGTTGCTGTACGTTTCCTTCCTTGAAACCGCTTTGCTGTTCTCCCCGAATGGGTCCATGTTCATGAAGATGTATTATCTGCGTTGAAAATACCAGATAAAATATTTCTCATGGAATAAACCCCGGGGATTCGCCATTATGGAACAGTAGGCTAATCATTATTTTTTCTCGGACAATAGGCCCGTGGTCGCAAGGCCCAGAAGGTCACCAAGAAGGTATGTGCTTATCGCAATCGCAATCGTAGTCGCAAGTAAAATTTGCAGTTAACTAACTATGCATGTTTTATAGTATGTCATCAACGCTTCTCAGCCCGTGAGCGACAAGATCTTCGACCTCTCTGCTTTCGAGAAGTTCCTCCACGACCGCATCAAGGTCGAGGGCCGTGTCGGCAACCTCGGTGACAAGGTCGTCATCTCCCAGGCTGGTGACGGCAAGGTCGAGGTTGTTGCTCACATCCCCTTCTCTGGCCGCTACCTGAAGTACCTGTATGTTCCTTTCCCCACCTCTTTGAATAATACCAGTGCGACATGTGTGCTAACCTGCACCTTTCAACAGCACCAAGAAGTACCTCAAGAAGCAGCAGCTCCGTGACTGGCTCCGTGTCGTCTCCACCTCCAAGGGTGTCTACGAGCTCCGCTTCTACAACGTCGTCAACGACGAGGGCGAGGAGGATGAGGAGTAAATTACTCCTTCCGGAATGACAACAACCAAAAAAATCCAAAAATGACCGGATGACAAGTGTGCTCGCGTCAGGGGGTTGCCAATAAATGGGAGCGATATCTGAATTGAGGGTTATCACTTGGATGTCTGGTTTGGGTATAGATGTGTTCTACAAGGAGGGATTCCTATACCGCTTTGGCGATGACTAGTGGTTGGCTCGGAGATGTTTGTTCCTGAAAAGGTAGACGCTCTGCGGCTACTCTGGCTCGTTATGGCTACCTCTACTCATGACGTTATGAATGGTAGATACACGATTGAATAGAGCAATCTATCACTCGAACCTAATCATGTTCTGTTGTAAATTACGTGGTTGCTTGTTGTACAATTTCGAGTACGTGTAAACTGGGTATCACTAGAAGTAATTAATGGCGTCGATAGCTGTGCCCTCAATCTCCTAACGCCGAGCTGCTCCGCTTCTGGCCCGCTCCTGATCCAAGCCTTCCATGTGCAGCCGCAGCTTCCGCATCGGCGCCTGGTGGAGGCACAAGCTGGTCGTTATGTATGCGCCAGCCTTTAGACTTGAGAACCTTCCACGTCTCCGCTGCCTTGACCCTCACCAGATCGCCCGTGGCGATCGAGTCTTCCTTGGAGTCATGGCCGCTACTGCCTCCAGTTTGGATGTCTCGATCTAGATGTCTCCGGCATAGAGTCTTCAAGCTCATACGGAGAGGTAAGCCCCGGGGATGTGGGTAGAGAAGCACAGTATCGATAATTGTCGGATGAATGATGCGGCACGCATTGAGGTCATTGTCGATCGCATGACCAATGAGTGGCGTATCTGGTTGAAGACATTCGAATAGAAGCGCCCGGGCTGCAGCAGGTGACTCGACAATCTGCAATGGAGGCGAGTCTGCTTCCCCTTCCTCCAACGGTAAACTCGCTTGAGAGCCAGAGCTGCCATAGGGAATGGCCTTCGTGTAGTGTTCTGGGAAAACACCAGAAAACCTCGAATTCAAGTCCAAGACTTCACCGATGGGTCTAACCAAGACATCCAAGAGTGTCTTGCCTTGAGGCCAGCTAACAGCAGTCAGCCGAATCAGCTCCAATCCCAGGGTTGTGTAACCCATTTCACAGTCGAAGCAGACTGGCGGCAGCCGTCCCTTGCCTGATTGTTCCGGGGTTTTCTGGAATTGGAGTACTGAGGCGAGTCGTTTGGTTTCCGATACCTTGAAGACGTGGGTCTTGCCCTTGGTACAGCCAGCAGAAGTCCCTACTGACTCGTTGCAGCAAGAGAAGTACGCATCTTTGTGCCCCGTAATATGATCGGTCTTCTTTTTGGGCGGATAGAGAGGTTTACCCGGGTGATATGTGCACTGTCCTCCCGTCGTCAAAGTTCCATCTTCCCGGCGACCAGGGAAGACTTGAAATCTTCCTCCACATCGATCGCACTTTTCCCATCCCTTGGATTCAATAACCCCTTTCCTGGCACCTTCCACTTCAGCGTCTGTCGGAGGCCTAGTAACGTAGCCGTACTGCTCGAGACCCTCCAGACGTGTCACAAGCTTGCTCGCCAATGCTATCTCTTCCTTTGCACTAAGCCCAGTTTCAAGTGGTTTCGGCTTTGACTGCTCTGGCCCGGGCGCAATCTTGTAATACCGCTCATTGAGATGGGCTTTCACGTCATTGGCCCAATCTTCCTTGCTCATTTTCGATAGCTTTACTATGCGGAGCTTGATGACATTGGAGTATATGCTTGGGTTTTCTTTCGCGGTCTTTTCCTCTTCATCCAAGGCCATTGTTATGAGCTCATTCGGCGTAAGGACCAGGTATTTGTCCTGGCTCTCTTTGTCTTTGGCCAACTTGTCATTTAGAGCAGACATACCGGCATGCAGCTTTGTGAGGATAGCCAAACGCACGCTATGGGGGGCAGGTGCTTTCGTTAGCATCCGAGGGTTTAGGCTTTCTCGTGGTGCTTGCCTTGGTGGGAGATGTTTTCGAGAGCCGGGTGTGCTTGCTTTTGCTGATGAAGATGTTGGCTTTTTCGGAGGCGTGACTTCCCTGGATAAAGACTGGAGCCTGACATTGGCTTGTCCATTGGTCTGGGTTGGCTTGTTCGATGAAGTTGTTGACACAGGAGCTTGACTGGGAGCTGCTTTAGAAGGCAAAGACGCTGCCTTGTCTTTTAACTTGGCGATTTTCTCTTCACCCGGAGCTTGTACTTTAGATTTCACGGCTGACTCGCCAGACGTAAGTCCCGCCTCGCCTTGGGCTGCCGTTGGTACATCGGTGCTCTGACGGGCTCCTTGAGGGGCTGATTTGGAGGCGACGTCCTTGTGAGAGAAGATGCAGGTTAAGAGCAAGCAATTTTGCCCTTCAGGACAAGGTATGTCTTTGAATAGACCGAGTGGTGCAAACATTGTGATTGTAGAATAGCAAGAGTTGCTCAGTAACGAAACAGAAGTCAAGTGTAGATGAAGAAAGGAGTATATAGCTGGTATACAAAGATTTCACTCATGCCTTGCGTTGCTTCGCAGCACGTACTAAACATACAGACGAACTGAAAGAAGTGCTTGAAGCTGTGTATTAGCCACAATGTCAGGTACAGATCCGATATGACTCAAAAAGCTGATTAGACTGTTTTTTATGAGCTTCGAGCACATCTGTTTCATCCAGAGACTATGCTTGCCATGGGCATTTAACCAGCCACTGCGGTGAGGACAAAAATTTGTGGGTCCCGCAGTGTCTTTTCGCTGAGCCCAGTTCAGATCTGAGATAAATTTATTGAGCTATTCAGCTAGGAAGAAGCTTTGAAGATTTCGATATGGAACAAGGAAGAAATCCTCCTGGAGCTAAGCCAGGTTCGCGATACGAAGCTGAAGCCGAAGCCGAAGCGGCGGATCGGGATGCGGTCATGCAAACCATGCAAACAAGCACCTGCAGCTGCACGATTGCCTATCAACCTCACCAGTCAATTTAGGAGGGTTAGGCTCTCTGGATACCATCATTACTTGTGCACACAATACTCCGTAATGGAGAAATCTAACAGATGGATAGGTGATGACTTCAGCAGGGCGGGGACCGTCCAGAACAGGCATCCATCTGATGACGTTTCCTTATCGTGGCTTAGTAAGGGGCCAATGGTGTACTGGCTGACAGCAGCCAGCAAATACTCAGCCTCCAACCTCAGGAATTGGCCGTGAGTCAGTGGATTATATAAAAGGATGATAAATGAACTGGCTACAATTACTCGGTATAGCATAGCAGCACGTTGACACTAGCTTCTCGACACCCTATCTCAATCACAGCCAACTATGGAGCTCGATAACGGCCACCCGCCGACTGAGACGTCGCGGAATGCCGACCACCTCTGTGTATTCGTACATGGGTCAGCTCCCAGTCCCCGAACTTCCTGCTGAAACTAGCTGACATATGATCTCATGGTAGACTATGGGGCAATCCTTCCCACCTCGACTATGTCACCTCATCGCTGAGGGAACTATACAGCGAAGACCGTCTCCATATTCTTGCGGCGAAGCGGAACGCCGGCAACTTTACCTACGATGGCATCGAGGTCGGTGGTGAGCGCGTGGCACACGAGGTTGAAGAAGCATTGGAGGAGCTGGCAGCCGCCGGGCATCATATCAAGAAGCTGAGCATGGTGGGATACTCGCTTGGAGGTCTTGTGGCTCGATATGCGCTGGGGCTGTTGTATTCTCGGGGATGGCTCGATAAGATTGAGCCAGTGAACTTCACCACGTTTGCGTCACCGCATGTTGGCGTTCGGAACCCCCAGAAGGGAGCATGGGGCTTCCTCTGGAACAACGTCGGGCCTCACACCATATCTATATCCGGCAAACAATTGTTCATGATCGACACGTTTCGCGATTCGGGCAAGCCGCTGCTGAGCGTGCTAGCCGACCCGGATAGCATCTTCATAAAAGCCCTGAAGAAGTTCAAGCACCGTACCGTGTATGCGAACGTTGTCAACGACCGGTCGACAATATACTATACCACGGCAATCTCGACGATCAACCCATTCCATGAGCCGGACAATGTCCGCATCAATTACGTGAAGGGCTATGATCCGGTCGTGATCGACTCTGATAGGCATATCCTACCGTCAGACAAGAAACATATAACATCACTATCACTTGTTCCCCAAGCTCAGCAACAACTTATGACATACCTCACAGAAGCTCCGTTCCAACTTCTCTTCACCACCATCCTATTCATCGGCTTTCCTATCTTCCTCATCAACTCCGCCATCCAAACCGTCCGCAGCCAACGACGAATCCGTCTTCATGAAGAAGGGCCCATGGGAACCGTCTTCGGACGCTACCGAGTCCCGGTTGTCGTCCAAGGCGTGCAGCACGCAGTAGAAGAGGCATTCGAGCACGCAGCCGCCGACCAAGATCCAGACTACCTGGACGAGAGCAAAGACGAAACGAAACAAGTGACATCGGCAAGGAGAGCCAGGTCAAGCGAAAGCAAGAGCAATGCGCTCATCCGCGATGACAGCCCCGACAGCGCCTCTGAACCGCTACTCGCCCGCGAACGCCAAGAACCTCAAGAGTTTCCAACTCTCGCATTGACACCGGATCAATTCGACATCATCGAGTCACTGAACTCCGTGGGCTTCCGAAAGCACCCGGTCTACATCCACAATCATCGACACAGCCACGCGGCGATTATCGTCCGTATGCCCAAGCCGGGATTCGACGAGGGCAAGGTAGTCATCAAGCACTGGCTTGATCAAGTTTTCGAGCTTTGACAATCGCCCGGCCGATATAGTTAGCTTACACGAACCTCAGCTGCCCATGCAACACCACTTAATAGACTTTCTCCACTCACATCACCCCCTCGCCTCACTGTACTCCGTCCTAAACTATACAGAAGAAGAGACATACATAGACCCTAAACCAAATACAGCTCCCTAATATCAAAGCACAAGCCATAACCGATCCTACCCGCTCCGCTGCCACACTACTATACATACTACAGACGTAGACTAGTACTCCGTTCCGTATCGAACACACAGATCCCCATGTAGCCCCACATTCCCCCCTCCTCCCCCAAAGCATCCTCCCTCACTAGCGCAACACCACCCCCCCCAACACAACACAACACAAACAATAGTAAATCCCAACTAGGCAAGTAAGTCGAGCATCTACTCCGTAAACTAAGTACATACAGTACAGATAAACTTCCCTCCTTCCTTACCCACCCACCTCACCCCCACATGACATCCAGCCACCACTGCACCACCATGTGTCCATAAGCACGGAGTACTCCGTTACTCATTCATGCCATGTCAATCATCATGTACCCCAGACCCGAATCCAGCGGATGAGAGATGAGTTACCCACAACCAGACATAATATCATGCAATGCAACTTATTCTGCAAATCAATCTGTCGCCCTACATAATACGAACCCGAATAGAATGGAATAGAAGATACCCCACCGCGCTAGGAATCTTCGCCTTCTCCTTCCCCCGCATTCTTTCTTTCTTTCTTACATCTGACGTCTGCCGTGCAGCTAGCTAGCTAGCTATCTTACGCACGGATGGGCTACTATAACTATATTATCTTGTAGTATTAGAGGAGAAGGAGGGGGGGTCTATAACCACGAAGTAAGTAACTAACCTTATTTGGGATGTTAATGTGGTTGGTATTGGACTGGGGAGGGGGGGGGGGGGGGGTAGGTAAGTTATCGGAGTTGCCTGATTGGGATGTTCCGTGAGATTGTGTGATGAAATTTTGCCTTTTAGGGAGTGCCGGTTTCGGCTTGTGGTGGGATGGGATTGGATTATGAACGAATACTATTAGACTGGGTTTGGGTTGCGTTGTTACACAGTATTTGATTTGAGTATGAGGTTTTCTTGGGTTGAGTAGGTATGGAAGGAGGAGTGGATGGGCCGAGGTGGTTGGTTCTTGGTTGGGGGTGGATGTGGTGGATGTGGTGGGTGGGTACTTGAGTATTTCTTTACCCATTCTATTGTAGAGGACTGATACAAGGGACGAGGGGGGTTGTATCCATGTTTTCGTTATGCTACTTTCGGGGTTATGGCAAATGCTTGATATTAGTAATCTAATGGGTTAAGGTGCTGCTAGAGGGAGAAGTAGGTAGTAGTCTTTATGATGAAATTCCCTAACAATAATAAAAGTGTAGTAGAAGATGAATGTGGTAAACCCAATGCTCAAAAAAATACATATCTGTCATACATTCATAGCATAGAGGTATCCATAAAAAAGTAATAGTAAACAAGAATGATAGGAATCTACATGCACCACAACTGTATCATCCAACTACCATCAGTAGAAAAGAAAATCAGTTGGGCAGAAGGCCCGCTTCTAGCTCAAGTTCCGAGTCAACATCGTCAACGAAAGCCGACCCGTCTTTCTTCTCTTTGGCCATCTCGCGGTCAATGGCAAATTTGACCGCGTCTAGGATATGGTTGCAAGTCTTCTTGGGTGGATAGCGAGGGATAGTGCCCTCTTGGTACACACCGGTCTTGACCAAGATGGAGAACCAGTCGGCGTCACTGGTCTCGTTGAACTCGTTCGTGCCCCTAATGTCTGACTCGGGGGTATCGCCCACAAAGTACACGGTGCTGGGTGGCTTGTTGATGGCATGGGTGTTCTTGCGCCATTGTCGCAACAACCGCGTAGCGAACTGGTATGTGCCGAGTTGGGGCTTGCCAAAGGCGATCGTGTTGAGCTCCTTGCCAGTGACGGCTTTGTACAGTGCCTCTAGGGACGCTCGAAGAGCTCCCATGCCGATGCGGACATGTTCGTGAGAGGTGGACCAGACCACGTCGTTGTGGGAGAAAAAGACAGGCGGGCCCTCGTCAAAAGAGTCGGATCGGGTGTCTAGGTGTCCATTCTTGGACATCAGAACGTCGAGGATAATCTGTTGGTCACCGGCCCAGTCCCGACTATCGGCAAAGACGAAGATAGCCTCGATCTTCGTCTTTGAGAAGTCTCGGACCCGGGAGTTCTTGTATTCTTCGTCGGTCAACTTGCGGAACGGTGTAGTGTCCTGTCGAGTCTTGATGATGTCTCCAGGAGTGATGACATCCTTAAAGCCGTAGCCTTCGGCTACGATACGGCACTTCTCGCCCTCCCCACCAACGACAAGGACCGTGTGGTACCTTTCGGCCATCTCGCGCATCGGGGTATGGCCGCAGATGAATTGGCCGGGGGAGACTTCGAGCTCAAGCTGTCGACTGAGATCAATGCATCGTTCTTCCTCTGTCTTGCCTCCACCATTTGTGACGAAGATGTAAGGACTGGTAGAGCGGTCAGCACAGGAACTACAAACTGAGCAGGGAGCACCGCTATCAATACGGTAGAGGGTGTTGATACATACACTTTGATGCCATACGGATTCTCTCCATTGATATACCTGAGCGCGCTGGCAGCTTCAGGGATAGCCTTGCCGCCTCTGATAAGGACTCCGTCAATATCAAAGGCCAAGGCAAAGTCGTCAGCCGTGGTGAGGGCCTTCTTGGTCACAGGCGGAGCAACTCGAGGAGAGCCTTCTTCGGAGGAAACCTCTTCGTCAAAGTGCTGCTTGGCCGCTTCCAGTTCCATGGCTGTCTCATGGGAAATGGTAGAAGCCATCAAGTGTTTAGGAGGAAGGATCACACTGGGACCGCCGTAGAGGTCGGCCTGGGATGCGTCCAGGCTCGACAACCGGCTTACCCGTGGGGTAGCATATCCGTCGGCTGTTGTCATTGTGGATAGTTATAGGGGTGGATCTCGGGCGGGTGGCAACAATGGAAGTGGATCTTTTGTGGACCGAAGTATGAACAAGAATCGGTCACTGCGGAAGACAATCGACAACGACGTCAGTCGATCTTCAGGGGCAACGTCTTTCGGCTAACGCGAGGTCGAGCAGACCACAAGGAAAGCAAGACGATCAATGAATCCAAGCAATGCACGTCAATTGGCGTTGCAAGGATGTACACTGATAAGACGATATACTACACAGTAGAATCAAGTTCCCAGAGAAAATGACAATGTGCAGCAAGCAAGAGAAGAAAGAGGAAGTATGATACACAAGATAGAGGAGGCGAAGTAAGAAATGGATACAGTGGAGAGAGAGGAGTCTGGAGAGATAGAGGGGCCACCTTTTGACAGACAATGGGATTCTAGAGCCATTATATAGGAGTCAACGAGCAAGCGGTGGAGGACGCCTGGCATATTCTTTCTTGGGTGATGCAGCCCGTGGCGCCGTCATCGACCGCGTCGGGACAACAAAAGACTCATTCTCACTGGTGAACTGGAAGTTTTGTTCTCAGTAACGGTAGCAGTTTCTGGTTGTTCGAACCCCACTTGCACCCAAAGTTACAACATAGTTGAATTGTTCCTATTTGATCATAGTGTCTAGTAGTGGTGCGTCTGAGAACTTAGTAGAAGCCAGTCAGCCATACATATCGAAGAAGAATCCTTGACCATATTAGATGATGATGGGAGAGGCTGACATTGTGATTCGCTCCGCGGAACGGTCAAGGCGCCAACCCGGCACCGGTAGTCAAAAGACACGCCCGGGAGGTACCGTGCAAAAGGAAATAAGAAATAAAAAAAAATAAAAATGGGAGGGGGGCTTGGAATGGGTGATTCAAACTTACTCGCCATCCATCCATCAAGAAAAACCGGATGAAACCCACTCGTTCGGCGAAAATGAGAATGGGTGAATTCGGATCCTTGATCAAGTTCGGGGACTGATATCATGGCACGGAAGCAAATGAGGAAGAGAGAAGAAAAGAGAGGAAGACGGCAGCGGGAGACAGATTGACATCAGTTTCAATACCGGTTCGTTTACACTTTACTCTCAACACCAATAATACATAATACAGCTATACTATACTATACTATACTATACTATACCACTATACACCCTCTCTATCCCTACAGTCGAGGAACTATAGTACAACGTAAGCGGTAATTGTGCAGTTTGTATGCCCAAAACACACCCGATTCCCCCGTCTTCATCAACGCCAATGACGCCTCCTCGTGGCCTTACTTTCCAGCTAGTCTACACTGTAACCTTCCCCCAAGCCATCGAGATCATTCCCGCCCTGAGCAATAAACCGGACTGGCAGGGATGGAGGGGAGGGGGGAAAAAAGGGAACGGACCGACTACCGAATGCACGAACCTACATTCATCCATCCTAATAGTAGTCTCCTCAAGCCACCATCTGCGCGAAGGATCGTGGATGGATGTTACTTTCTGAGCCTCCTCTTTTGCCAGTCCGCTAACCAGTTATCTTGTGCTTCTCCAACGTGAGGTCACAGCCAACCATGATCCTCAAAGTGGCCCGGAATTCCCTACACCAAGAATAGTGCTGCCTCACTGCCTCAGTCATCCGCCAGGGGCTGATCACTGTTTCTGACGTCATGGCGGAGCTCTCCCGGCCGCCGTCTGTATCGTTACCGTATGAAACAATACAACCCTGCACGGAGAATAGTGGCAGAGAGTGGATTCACATGGAAAATCTGCCTTTGTGGTAAACTTGGAACTGTGATTGCCTTTCGACACTTCGGCCTAGTGGAAAGCATCATTCCTAAGACGCTATGTTTGGAAAAGGCCTCTGCAGCCCTCCTGATTCGCTTGCGTGATTTTCTTCTGCTGAGCTGACTGCAGCCTTATCTGACTCACAACACAGCGGACGTGGATATCTCATCAGACATCTTTTTTTTTTTTTTAAACTAGTGGATGTGAGTCTCCCAAATGACAGATGAAATAGTGGGGCGAGGGTCGAAGCCCAGAGTCAGTCCGTAAGTATGTGCACAATCGGATTCGCTGCCTTTTACAAAGCCCATATCTAATAGATCCACCCATAGTAGCCAATGCATATATACACTCATGAGAATAAGAATGAAACGTCAATAAATCGCCTTGAAGAAGAGAAAGATACCTGGCTCCACCAAGTGAACATATGTCATAGTATCATACACCAGAAAGGGAAAGACCGGACCCCAGAAGCATGTATATATATATATATATATATATATATATGTATTGAATTGTGTCCACCGAAGACAAAGTTCCACTCGTAGCCAAGGCCGAGAAATGGAGCACCCCTACCCCCTAGATTAGACGTGTCCCATCAATCCACGCGCAGTATTAGATCTGACCCGCTGCGGGATGGGGTTACATTTCGCTCGTACGGCACCGGCTTCCTCTTCGGCATGTGGCCCCTCACGCTCGCAATGGAGCGCAAAGAATCGGTGGACTGCCTGCGTGTTTGGGTCTCCAACACAGGCCCTGGATCATGACCAAGCCAGTAGTCTTCAGGTGAGTAAGGTGCACTTAATCCTCCGGCATGTGGCTTCCGCCGAATTTGGACTCGTTTGATATCGTCCCGTCGTACAATCCGCGGGCGAGAGACAATTTCTTGTCTGGGACTGACTGCCCGAGAGAATGGCATCCGGGGAAGACCGGGTTGGTCACTCGAGACAAGCTCCCAGTTCGGTGTAGGAGATTCTCGCGTTGGCGTTCTGATTTCACGCACTGGCGTGAGTGGCCGTAGATTTCCCGAATGCCGGGATTCGCGGTCCAATCTGCTAGTCGAACCGTTGATGTCGAAGTCCTCAAAGTTGTCATCAAGGTTGTACAACATGCTGTTGTTCACGTCCGTGCCACGGAACGGACCACTTGCAGCACCCTGCGACGAGGGCGGTCCGACAAGTCTTACATGTCCCGCACCGCGATGCTGCCGGTCCCGGTCGACAAATTCCCCAACGTCCGAGATCGGAGAGCTCTGTAGCAGGCTTTTATAAGTGTCATCTTGATTGGCGACCTGAACCTTTGATGCGCTCTCTGCATACGTAGGCCTCTTTCGGTAGTTCGGACCTCTCATAGCAAGCTTTCCATCCTGGCCTTCCCCGAAACCGTGGAGCATCGCACGAGGATGCGCAGGCAATCCAGCCATAGGGGCCCGGTTGTACCGCCAAGTATCTTGAGCTCGGCTTGACGAAGTCGGCGGATTTAGATTCTGGTATGGCGCACCAAAGGCGCTCCGTGGTCTCGTCATATCCTCTTCGAATAGAGTCGCATGGCTGTGGGGTCTGGGCTGTTTCTGACGACTTAGCCTTAATGGTTCCGGGTAAAGTCCCAACGTTGGCTTATCCGGAAGTAAATCTGAGATCGTTCTTGGAGACGACTGGCTCAATGATCCCTCAGCTTCGGAATTAGAAGTCACTGCAAAACCAATCCTGTCGGCACTATACATCCCCATGGGACTATCATTATGATGATTACCGGGGCTTGTAACAACAACTGCAGGTGTCTGAGCTCTCGGTTCAAACGGGGTTATAAGTCTGGAAGTTTCGGAATCCCTATCTGTTGTGCCAGGCATAGGACGAGGCCCAGTTGGCCGTCTTGGTGGGAATGTGAAATCCGGAGGCTCTGACATGACTCCTCCGATTTCGAAAAAGTGGTCCCTTTCATCCTGTTTCCGACGCTTTACCTTCCTACAACAGAAGAATATAATAACACCAACAATGAAGAATCCAGATATTCCAGAAGCAACCGAAACTCCAATCACAGCAGCAGGTTCCAGCCTGCTGTCAGATGCGCTCGCAGATGCCGACTGGCCACTACTGGTAGCGCTACTCGTTGTCGTGGAGGGAAGTTGCGAAGTAGGAACCGTCAACGGACTTCGGAAAGTCTCAGTAGTTACCGATGTATGCTCAGTACTAAAACTTGTCGGTTGTGAGAACGTACTAGAGCTAGAGCCCGAACCAGTGTCTGAGGCCGAGCTGGAGCTGGAGGTAGATGGCACCGATGCTGTCGTCGTCGTTGCAGTCTTTTGCGTGGGGCTTGATCCCGTTGGCATTACTGTCGCGGTGATCGTAGCATGTGTCCGTGGCAAAGCTCCAGGTACCGAGTCGCAAATGTCGTACAAGTCGGAGCTGAAGACTGTTTTCATAGAACATAAGGATAGGCTACAGCGAAATGCCGCTTCCCCAAGTGTATAGCCGCTTGTGGTATTCGTCCGACAGAGACAGTCGAGATCCGCCTCCGAGCATGCATCTTTTGGGTAATCAGAGAATATGAATTGTTCCACGCAATCTGCCGCACAGCTTGGAATCAGACTGGACAAAGATGTTGCTGATGTGGTAGGATGAGCAGTCTGGGAACCATAGGCGAGGCATGTCAGCGTCAACAGTATTATCGTGAATGACCGTCCAGCAGGTAAAAACATCTTGTGAAAGCATCTTCGTTCTCGGTTAGCAGACTATCGCCGCCGGGTATAATGCAAGCCAAGGAGTCGCGAACGGGAGGTCACAGGGTCAATAAATTACCTATGCACATAAAAAGTGACGCTACAGAGGAATTCCAACCCCTGGAGTCATTGATAACCGTAGAATATCATCCTAAGATGACCAAGAAAGACAGAGCGCGAAGAATACTGAGATCTGGAAAAGTGATGATTTGCCAACGGCATGGAGAAGCACCAACTTCAAGACAACAGCGGTTGCGAGAAGGGGGGAAAGGAGGGACTTCAGGGACCAAGACAATGTACCGCATACTGCCAGCATGGGCGTCAAACCACGTTTTGCCATGGCGCTGAGTGGCTGCGAAGAGAAAGAATCAAGGTTCGAGACCCAAATCAGGAGTTCGATCCTCCTATACGCGCCAGGGTGAAACATGACAACACTGTCCCAAACAGAATACACGTAGCTGATGGACGCAGTTCTTCAGGAGGCCTGTCGCTTTGCATGATTGGATTTTGGGTGGCCGATGGCGTTGAAATACGCGCCGTGTTGGCGCCAACTCTGCCGATAAGAACAGCACATGATGTCAGATTGAGCTGATCCGAGAGGTTCAAGGCGCAAACAATTGAATTGGGTCAGTCTCTTTAACCGCGCACCTTCAGGTTGTTGTCGATCTGAAGACCCTGCGAGCAACCAGGCACAACTGAGATCGTGTAGATCCAGTCAGCGTGTGGACACTGCACTGAAGGTGAAACGGCGGCTAGTGAACAGACGCATCACGGGACTTGTTGAATGGCCCGATCGGCACTCGTGTTTCCCCATACCCACTCGGCAGATTACAGGCTGCTTATGGCATAAGCAGCTACGATTCGAGCCCAGAATGTGGTTGATTAATAAGTTTGACATTGTCATCAATCATTAATCTGAACACTGCCAACTAGGAGAAAATGACAAAAGCAAAGCCCAGTGACACAGTGAGCTGGTATCATGCGCAATACATAAGAAAATAACAACCCAAGGAGAGAAGAAATAAGGGAATAAAACAAAGGTACGATCGAGACCCTGTCACCAACACACGTCGCACTGAGCATGCTGCACATCCGCCCAATCACGGTGTTTATGTTGGCGGGGTTGCATTAGGCTAGACTCGTCGGGAGCCCGCGGAACAATACTAAGATGTTGACAACGTCACTCCGACCCGCTGGATTTTGAACATCCGATTCCGTAGGAGAAAAATCGTAGGTAGGACGAGGTTATCCACCCTAATCGACGGGTTTTGAACCGAAGTGGGTGGTAAGAAGGGGCCTGAGGAGCGTTCTAGTATTTGAATATAATATAGCTGAACGAAAGGAGTTAGTCTCGGAATCTCCGGAAAACCATCACTTGGCGGACCACGTACAAGGCATGAATGACACCAGGAAGCCAACCCAGGATTGTCAAACAGATGTTGATCAGGAAATCAGCACCGCATCCTCGCTCAAGGAAGACGCCCAGCGGGGGCAAGATGATCGCGAAGATGATCTTGCAGATATCCCTATGATTCCAAGGACGTTAGCACACTCAAAACACTAAGCTCTCGTCATTCGAATAATTGCGATCGCAAGCTATCCAAAGACAGCTCCAGCTTGTCAAGGTCAAGTTGTGCGCGCGTTTGGATAAAAAATCGCCAAAAGATGACGTCGCAAGGAGTTGCAAAACTTACGAGGCAGTGAAAGGCATTGTGAATGGAGGAAGACGTAGATCTCTTCAAGTCGACAAGGTTGATGCAGGAAAGAGTAGTAGTGAGCAGGTGATGAATATGACCAAATAGAAGCGGTATCTGAGTGCAAGTAGATGAATGATGGAGAGTAACAAGAAAAATCAGGAGAGGAAGGGAGCGGGACCACAGGGACTCTTTAAATGATGGGCGGCAAAATTAAGTAGCTGCCCTCCGCCAAACGCTACGGGGGGATAGTGCTATGCCTCCTACGTAAAGCACAGTCCTCGAATCCGCATTATTCAACGGATACGCCTTTAGGTAATAAAATAAAAGACCAATAGCTGCTAGCGATAATTATAATAACCGGGGCGGACGACAACGATAGTCAGGACGATCCTTTTCCGCTCGCTGTGCATGTCTACTGCTACGTCATACTTTTCAGTACGAACTGTGGCTGATGCCTTGGCTGCTTGCTGATTGGCTCCGAGCTCACCACTACCAGACTTCTCGGCGGGTGACTTTTGCGTCGTATCGACGTTTTGTATTCAGTTCTGTACCTCCCCCAGTCCCGTGGCTGATGCTCCTCCAATTCTGGAACTGAACCATGTTGTCATCGGGCGGTGCAACTGGATTTGTTCAACGGTAAGGGGAGAACTTTCGCTCTCTTCTTCTCCCCTTTCCTCCCATCTCCTACCTTTTTTTTTGACTTTCTACTTTTTTTTTTTCTTCCTTCCTTTGTCATAATTATTCTGTTGCCTGGCAGGGTCTTGGCGCTTCCACCGTACCACCTTACCAGGCTGAGGCGAGGCGCCAGTAGTCTAATTTAGACGCCGCCAATATTGACTAAAACGCTCTGTGCAGATGGTTCTAAAAGTCTGGGCTCTTGGTTCTCAGTGGGACGTACCAGCACATCATATTCCATACCTACTGCTTCTATCGGACTAGATCTGGGCCCCTACGCAATCCGTTGTTCGAAATAGGGGTATGACTCCGTGTCTAGGAGGTTTTGGGAGACGGAAAGCAGCATGGATATGGTGGGCCATCCAGCCCTACGGTTCCTCTTGCGCGAATCACGGTGTCGGTTAGCTTTCAACAATGTTCGGACAGATGCCGCGTCCCCATTACGGTACTCGACTTTGTAGGATTTAGACTAGCGTAGACTTATTTCCAGGGAAAAAACAAAGTGATATCATTTGACACGCATCTATCCGTCAGCGCCTACGCTAACTATGCAGATAATCACTGGATTAAAGCACGTTTCAGCCGGATTTTAGACGTCATGTGCTCGATAGTGAGATGTCTTATCGTTCGCATGTCGCGAATACATCATTGCGAATCAATCTTTCTACCATCATGATTTTGACATGACGTATGCCCATATTGTATACTGTCTACGAGGATCTTGTTGATCATGACGGAGGCATCCCACTATGCCATGCCCAGCGAGAGGGGAAAAAAACCTGACTAATACAGTAAGAAGAACAGATCAATCTGCCTGTTGAGACGACGCAGTATCATGTGATTTGGCATGGCCGCAGTCCAAGCCACACTGAGTCGTTTCTATTTTCTAGAACAGAACATCCTGGCCACCCCGCATATTTTAGCCAGCAGTTTAATTAAAACACTGCCTGGCTATGATGGTGGGTCTCTCCAGGCTATACAATTCAAAGCTTATGGTCAGCCCTATCTTGCAGAAGCATCTCGCCAGAGGTATATTTAGATGGCCAAGTGACCCGCAAGGCGCAGTAACATTTTCCTGGCACCTGCAGATTCAACGTCTGCCTAGTTTTATTGTGTGCACAGTCAATATAAGGTATGTGCCTAGTACTATCATGGATAGTATTAGGACCACACTAAATTGAAGTACATCAAACCCACTGTATGCTCTGTTGGTCAATTGATTACTCTTTACAGGGGCACTAGAAGCCATATCATTAGACTCTTCAGCCCATGGTACCAAACCCCTGTCAGATACGATGCAGCTGAATGACAAAATACCGTCTCCCTCACACATGATATAACTGCTTTGCAAGCAAGTGTATGAAAATCATCAAACAATGCGCATGATGAGCCTACGATATTCCCACTGCGTCTGTGGCTGTTTGTGATAGAATGCTGTTTTGGCTCTTGGCATCATATTGACAGAGGGCACCCTAATACTGTAATCCCCTTCAAGTAAAATAGGTATGACGAGTTAGTGAATACAAAAAAAAAAAGACCAAAAATGACTGGGAAGATCCTATATATGAAGATGTCAAATTCAATACACATAGATACTATAATTCCATAAGCTAACACCTATTACAAAGATAGGTAGAAAATGTTAGCTCGATAGATATGAGTATCCATAGTCTAGATCTAGCTATCTGTTATGTCTATCTGTGAAATAGATGGTAGTACGTAAGTAACCTTATGAATATAATTCAAGGATATTATCACCAAAGACTGACCCTATCTGTAATGAGCCAGAGACACTAACTAGTAGTACTGCAATGGATAGCTGATGCCATATGGGCGACTAAAAGGATTGAGAAGTATAATGTTGGAAGTAGGGGTCTTCGTCTATGATCCAGAATATTACGGCTTGGCAGCTACTCCCGCAGTCTCCGCATTTCCCCATCACTGTCTCGTTATCTCAATACTTCAGCCAACTTGGGTATCGCGCACTTGCCGTATAAGCCACTTTAAATAATCATAAGCTTTCGTGATTTACATCTCTAGATAATGTGTATCCAGTCGCCCTCTCCATAAAGTTATTCTTCTATCAGGACCATCAGACGGTGATTCGTAATCCAGTTATCACTCGAGCGGGTACCTCCGATGTCCTCAAAACACAATGCTAAGTGCGATGGCTCTCAATATACAAAGAGAGAAAAGCTCATAGTGTCCAATGTGAATAGTAAATATTATATGTCTACATCAAGCTGTGTCTGTTTCACAACTGCTGCTTCATCACACTGACTGGGTGGGGAAGCTGGTTATCGTGATGCGCGGCCGACGGGACAGCGCCAAGCCGCTATCACGTGATGACGCAGGTGGTCGGTCAGCCTCCCCGAAGCCTCCAGCGTGTTCGCCTTCACGCCTCCATCTCCGTTTCGCTTCCCCAAGCCTCAACATCACCACATCGCTTTACACGCGGCCTGTCCCTGCCCTGTCACTCTTCCTTTCGGCTGTTTTTATAGTTTCACTCCATCTTCTATAGCCCGCAAGGTCGCCTAATCTGTCAAGATGGCCACCGAACTTTGGTACGTAATCACCTCACCTACTCCTTTTCCCAGCATTTCGACCATTGTGCCCTCTTGTATCTCGATTTAGATCATGCTTCGGATGAGTTTCGACTGGATATACTGACATGTGGACATGATAGCCCCGTTTACGCAGTAAGTCACTTGTGATCTCACCCTCGCCGATGACACCATCGAGCTCCAAGCGACCCTCAAAGTAGCTTGGCTTCGTTGCATCAAGCGGAGAATCCGCCATCGAACTGGCACCTCTCGCACAGATAACTGATCTCTTACCCGTATAGCCCTTCTTCGGTGCCCTTGGCTGCACCTCAGCCATCGTCTTCACCTGCTTCGGAGCTGCCTATGGAACTGCCAAGGCTGGTGTCGGTGTCTGTGGAATGGCCGTCCTCAGACCTGACCTGATCGTCAAGAGTACGTGGAAGCTTCACAGAGCTCTTATACCTCTGGGATAAGCTATCGCATATAATATCTGATGATTAATACTAATCTGGTGATACAGACATTGTCCCCATTGTCATGGCGGGTATCATCGGTATCTACGGTCTGGTCGTGTCGGTCCTGATTGCAAACGACTTGGGACAGAAGGTCCCCTTGTACACTGGTTTCATTCAGCTGGGAGCAGGTCTCGCCGTCGGTTTGGCTGGTATGGCAGCTGGGTAAGCTTCTCACCATGGCACCTTGCAATATCGGTAGCTTTAGACTAACAGAGTATCTCTAGTTTTGCCATTGGTATCGTTGGTGACGCAGGTGTTCGTGGAACTGCTCAACAGCCCCGTCTCTATGTCGGAATGATTTTGATTCTCATTTTCGCTGAAGTCTTGGGTGAGTCACTAAGTCACTACATCAAAGCGAAACAACCTGTTCGCATCATCTAATCAAGACGCCTCACAGGTCTGTACGGTCTTATCGTTGCTCTTCTGATGAACTCCCGTTCGAGGATCGACGCCACCTGCTAAACGAACCCTCCTTCGTTCCGCGCGAAATGGCCCAAGTGAACACCCGCCCGAGGATGCCAATCACCCACTATCCTCGGATACGACGAAAAGAGCCCGGGTTGCTCAACATGTGTTAACGTGATGCGGTTATTTTGACTTATGTTTTCAGACTTTATTTGCCGACAATGACGGTTCCCGTCATTGTCCCGATGACAGCTGGAGGGGATGTGGAGAAGTGGATTGCTAGGGGGATTGGAAAGAGAAAACGGACGTTGAATAAACATATGCTTTCTCTTTCACCCAACAACACCCCCAAATAACAAAGGACAAGACATAATTGGATGTGCTAGCCAAGTTTGTAGACTAGGACAGGGTGGGAAGCTGTGGTAGATACATTGCATGGTTTTTTAAGGTCTTTTGAGATTTTGTACTTTATGGGAGTCGCTTTACTCTTTTGTATCCTTGAGCTGGATCATAGGATTACTTGCTTTGCAATGCTTATATGTTTTCTCCTGCTAGTTTATGGACCTATGTTACAAACTTAGCTTTTATCTATCCTGGTTCTTCGGTATATCATGAATGCAACAAGTGGCGAATGTGCGATTACTTAACGTTTAAGTATTTACGACCTCGTACACTGTTACAAGTCACAAGACACTGAAACAAGACCAGCGCCTTTCACTCCAAGGAAACAAACTCAAGCAGTATAGATACCATTGCACCTGACCTGCACAGAGCAAGCAGGGCAGATAGATAAGATAGTAATATGTAACATACAAAGTACTGTCTATTGAGCGGAATAAAATGCGGTGGACATCGAAATGTTAAAGAGAAAAGTGGCGAAAATAAAACAAGACGACGCCGTAAGGATATATGCGATATAGGCAGACATATCAGTAGTCGCCGCCAAACACACACACATACATGCGGAAAGCAAAGCAATAAACGCAAAGCTTCAGATGCGTAAGTCTAGGGATGACTTCTCTGTGAAGCAGAGGCATGGGGGGAGATAAGGTTGTAAGTATGTAAATAGATAAAAGAGGAAGATGGATAACAAGAGGAAGGTTTATTCGGATTGTAGCGTAGCGAAAAGAAAATTATAGCTGTAAGCAAATGGTAATGGTCTCAGATGATTGAATGAAGTCAATCAAGCCTTCTCAAGCTTCCGTCTCAGGGTCCTTGTCCTCTTGCGCAGCTTCTTCAGCTTGTGCTTCTTCATCTTCAGTCTGCGACGTCTCTTGGTGCTAATGGCGTGCATGGTGCGGTTGTTGCGGATACGCTCCATGTAGGTGGTGCCGGAGTTGTGGGGAACATCAATGATGGCCTCACTCTCTCCAATGGCACCGGGAGCTTCCATCTCACCGGAGGGCACGAAGGGACCAGTGTGAGCCTCGTAGGTCTTGCGACCATCCGAGTGTATCGACTCGTGGATGGTCAGGACGGTGGAGTAGCTGGAGGTCTCCCGGGGGACGTCCTCGAACTCGGAGGAAGTCATGTTCTTCGCTTCGTCGAAGGGAACAGGCGGCGGAGGGGGGTGGAAGGGACGGAGACGCTTGGTGAGTTCCTCGACGGAGACTTTCAGATCGGAAAGGTTCATGCCATCCAGCTGGTTGCCTTCCATGTCGAAGTACTGCAGAGAGCCCTCCTGCTCGCCGGAGTGGGCAGCGGAGTTCTCCATGGAGTTGACGGCGGAGGAGAGGGTGAAGATGACATCGTCCACCTCAGGCTTAGCCGGCTTCTTTGCGGTGAAGATGGCGTCGAAGGCTTCGGGGGTCGAGGTCGGAGGAACGGTGGTGGAAACGGAGATGGGTCGGTGGATGGAAAAGAAGGAGGCGACGTGAACGTCTAGACCGAAGGAAGAAAGATTAGCGCATCATAATCTAGACGTATAAGAACGGTGGATAGGGATTGTGGCAACTAACCATGCGGCTGGAGGTGTTGGGTAGAGGGAACACTGGGAAGTCGGGAAAAAGCCGTCGGCTGCTTGGAGCCATTGCGGCCGTTGCTATCCTTGCCCCTCCGTCTGGAAGCCTTCCCCTCACGTTTCTCTGCAGAATTCACTCCCTTGGCAGGCGTCTGAGAGGAAGAATCGACTTTATTAGATCCATCGCTGGGTTTCGAGGACGAAGAGGAGTATCGGCGTTGACGCACATGTTGTGACGAGCCGATGAGGCCGTTCGCGGAGGTAGTAATACTTTGGCTGGTTGCGCGAGACATGCCGGCGATGGGCCCCATAGGAGCCCATGCAGCCCGGCGCAGTGAGGACGACAGCATTTTCCGACGTCGTAAAGCCCAGGAGCTGGGTGACGATGTTGTCGGGAACGAAGAGGCGAAATCGAAGTTGGAGCCGATCATGCGGAACTCGGCGATTATGTAAGTCCTCTGTCGCCTCAGGCACGAGGCAAGATCAGGTGACCTGGAATGGCAGTGTCCTCGCCTGACTTTGTCCACATGCCAACTCATGAACGGTGAAGATCTTCATGCAGAACTACCTATTGTCGCTGATAGAATTGGATACTACCAGCGAGTCTACCAATTGCTTGGTGATACGTACTACATTGCAGGAACAATGACACTATATTCATTTCGATTTGGGTATCTGTTCGTTCCATGCTCACTTGAGCCGAACAATTACAATAAGGGCAGCTATACTTAGAAGAGTCTGAATGATCGGATACAGAAGATACAGCTCCCAGTTAGAGCTGCCAGAAGTGACACGAGCGAATGATAGGGTGGGTGGGGGCTCATTATGCCAACAGAGAAGAAGAAAAGGAAAGATACATGGGAGGCGTCAAGGTCACACAAAGGTTAAGCTCAGGAGAATGGAAAAAGAGCTCGTTAGGTGGGATAGAAAGCGCAGACATGGACGCAAACAACATATGGTATATGGTATCAATCTGCATTATATAAGAAATGCACCCGTCGCTGAACCGGAGAAAACATATAAGCTTTTGAAAGGAATGAAAAGCCGAGACAAGAAGTCCACATGGAGAAAGAAACGTACAGGAAGAGAAGGGATATAGTGAAGTGAATAAAAACAGTTGTATGAAAGCAAGCGTGCTTTTACCGCTTGGCGTGTGCAGGGGAAGAATGGAAGTTGAGCATCGCTGACGCCTCGTACTCGCTCGTAAAAATTCAAATCGTTCCAAATCTCACAACCTTATAGTATGAGGGTGTGGAGATTCTTTTGAATAATCATGTCTTGTACCGAATCCATCGTTGCCTTCAACAACGTCGTATCAGTAGCATTCGTGTAATGGATATAGATTTCTCGGTCGGGAATCCGGTTGATGCCCCGGAATCGGTCTGCAAAGTATCTGGCTGCTGCATCGAAGTCCGTGTTGGAGCCATTGTAGTCAGGGAAATGGTTGGAGACAGGCGAAACATGAAGCTTTCCCTTGAACAGATCGATTTTGTTCAGGAACAAGATGATCGGCTTGCGTTTGAACCATTCGCCATTGACCAAAGACTCGAACAGCATCATTGCTTCATGCATTTGGTTCTGCACGATGGGGAACAACGGTTAGTACAAGTGCTTCAAGGAGGCGGTAGGGGAAAACGTACGGCATTCTGGTCCTCAACGAGACATTGGTCGTAACCAGATAGGGCAACCATGAATAGAAGGCATTGAACACCCTCGAAACAGTGAATCCACTTCTTTCGCTCGGATCGCTGTCCACCGACGTCCATCATTCGGAAGTTCATTTGACCGAGTTCAAAGAGAGTTTCAGTAATTCCGGTTGTCCGCAAACGAGCCTGCAACATGTCCTGGTTGTCGGGAAGCCACCCAGGAGTGAATATTCGATCAAGCGAATCAAAAAAGCTGAAAGGTTAGACGGCTTGCCTGTTTGTTCAAAAAGAAGGTTCCTAGGACTCACTAATGCAAGTTATCATGAAGAGCAAACTCGTGGCCTCGAGCAACAGCTTTTTGAACACCTGTATCGTCCCACATCTCTCTGAGAGCGTCGCGAACCTTGAGATCTGAGAATGCCTCGTCTGAACCGACGTCTGGCTCAAGCTTGTCTACATATTCGGCTAACGGCTGATCAATGACGAACTGAATTAGCACACATACTGCCACAAACGGATCTCCGCTTGCGATGGAGAATCGCAAGACAACCGAGCAGATGAAGTTACCTGTGTCTTTTCCAGCTGGAAATCAATGTTTTCGGCGCGCATGATATCCAGTAGAACTTTGAAGGCGATAACAAGATTCGAGTAGATCACAGCTCGTGTTTGGCGTCGTTCATCCTCGGGGAAGCCGCCGGAATGTATGATTCGCATTTGTTTGATGATTGTCGACTTGCCCGATTCACCAGCACCTACATAAGAATAAAATGCATCAGTACTCCTCGTCCATGACTGCGAATTCGACGTGTTTCGTCTGGGAACTTACCAAGGAGGAGAATCTTGATTGTTCGGTCCATTACTTTCTTGTCATTTTTCAGAACCTTTTCTATCCTAGCGCTTCGTTGAACAGCGTCTTTATCCGCCGTGTCGACGGGTTTCGAACTCATGCAACCCATTTTGAATATTGATGTGCTCTCACAAAGTGACTTTCGATGGTGTCTGGAAGTGAGTTAGTACTTGCTGATTATAGTGTGCGAAGTGACCAAGAATAGACGCAGCACAAGTAGAGTATGGCTGAATCAGGGATACGCCCAGACCCCGCAGTTAACCACACGGAAGGCTCTCTTTGAGACATGTGTGAAACGTCAACCAGAGAGACCCGAGGCCTCGAGCAATGAGAAAGAAGCGAGAAAGTAAATCAGCGGAACTTACTTAAGGTAGAATGTAATACCAAGCACTAGAACCAAGCCAATGTATCTTTGACTAAACCCGCCCGAATGGCGCAAAATTAGAACATGTCGCTAGCTCAAATAACGCCAAGTTGAACGTTACTCGGTCACTGTACGTACGTCGCGGTATTCCCTATTCCAAAGCAAGATGTCCTGGTAGGATGGAAGCCGAAGGTGTGTTCCAATACGACTGTCGCAAATTGTCCCCCGCTTTGTATGAGAACGATATCCAAGTTAATTGGCGAGCAGCGCAGCTGTCCGGAGCTTTCTGGAATCTGCGAAATATGGGATCGAATTAAGGAATGTGACGACGAAGGTCCCTCGACAGGCTAGGTTGGGTGGTGGTTTAGACAGGTGTTGAGTGAGACGGAGTCGATCGCGGAAGTGAGAGGCTTTCGGGAAGTTGGCACGACTTTCGAGATTGAAGTGCTGATGAACGGAGGATGTCTTCCAAATTAAATGCTGGGGAAGAGTTCGCTAGGTATGCTGACTGCAGCCTCGAGGCGTTCCCCTTTTCGTGGGTGGTGGGCGAAGATGCTGACCGCAGACGCTCAGGTGAGGGGAAAGATGGGAGGGAGGTAGGAATGGGGAGGGAGATTAGTACATCTCCGCCGTATCGCAACCGAAGCAAGCAAAAGAGCGGAAGACCAGGGCGAGAAGCAAGAGATAGAGAGAGAGGAAGAGAAAAAGAAAGAGGGAGCGAGAGAAAGAGGAGAGAGAGAGAGAGAAGGACAGTCTGGGAGACTCGCAGGTCTATAGTAGTAGTAATAATAATAGTAGTAGTTTAGTTAGTTTAGCAGTGAGCAGAGGGAAGGAGGAGGAGGAGTAAGTGGTGGGAATGTTGGTCGCGGAGTCGTCGCGCAATTCGTTCGATAATCCATCAAGTCCGATCGAAGTGGGCCACGGTGCCAGCAGAGTTGAGCTGCTAGTAAGTTTAGTCCGGCTTAGTTCCCCTTCGGCGTAGTCATCCTTCTTGGGACCTTCGGCTGTGAGTGGCCCTGACACCGGGGCCTGTATTACCTGTGAAAACCGTGTGAAAGATTTCCGGCGTCGCATTGGGCCCCGTTCTGGGAATCTAGAAAGGGACTAGTCCGCTGTGGCTACCGTCACCTAAGGGCCTTAGCCGTAAGCCCTTGGCTTCTTAGTGTCGTTTAGTTCCGTGATAGCATCCCGGCTGCGAGCTCCCTGTACAAAGTAGACGGCCTGGCCCTGATCTCACTGGTTGTAGACGAACAATGCTGACCCACCCCGGAACTCCATTCAACTGTGGATGAATGGCTCCATTCATTCTTCGTCCGCTCTTAGCCTGGTTCGAGCCGATTGGAAATGGAGTGCATTAAGGTCCAATGCTTCTTACCGCCCGTAAGCTACTAGTCAGTAAGTAATAATCTTGCGAGTTATGGGTGGCACAACGCGTTATAATACCAAAACGATATTAGTACCCGGTATATACGTGGTTTAGTACGGAGCTCTCCGTATCCTCAATCATTCTCTGCAGCAACACACACTGTCCGGCTGAGGAAACATCCAGCAGTTGACGATTGATTATTCGGGATATCCAGCAGATAGATAGCCAGTAGGTACGTACTTGTTCGAGTCAAGTTCCGGCCTCGCCGATGACCCGCGGGCCCATTGACAATGGATTGACCATAGATCCTTCCTCTATGGGTCTTCGTGAAATTAATTCTCAATCAATCTGGATTTGAGATGGATTACTCTCAAAAATGCAGCATTACTCCCACGATCAGAGTACTAGTACGAAGTAATGCTTTCTCACGTCGCCATCATCCACGTGCCATATTACCTTACCCATCAATATGGTTCCGACCGCGATCCTTTAATCTGGGTATATGAATCTATATGAACTCAATAAACTTTTAACCGCAAGGATCGTAGGCATTGGGAACTCAGTTTAGCCCCCAATCCCACGGTCGCTGGACGTCAGCATCAGTGACCTCGTACCATTGATGGCCAACGACTTACTCCTGGGCTATGGATGCATCCTTGTGATGTCTCCGACTCCGGGGGCGAATGAGACCCCGAGTCATGTTCCCACCGGTGCCCTCCTGCGGCTGCCAAGCCATGCAAGCGAACGACGACGCCACGAGGCGCGAATCGGATGCATTGGTATGCACCGATCGACGAGTAGCATCTGCTTCTATGGACAGTGTTTTGGGACAAAGTAAGTACTTTGTACGAAGTCCGAATGAAGCCTGCAAGCCCACCTTGATCAAATTGACTACTATTATTTGTTAGACCAGAGGGTAGAGGAACTATTGACAGTGTTATCGATGTTCGAGCTTCCGGGTCTTTTATCCGTCGGTCTATAGAGGACACTGAATGTACATCGCTCTTGGACCAGGAAGGAGTCGGGAAATTGAGTTGAACTAGTGCCTCGGGTTCTCATAGATCATCGCCATTCTTTGCGATCCATCACAAACAAAGGGAAACAGAGGGCTGAGCATTCGAACCTGCCTAAGCTTACTGTAGAACCTTATCTACGCAAGTGGCTTCTTTCCAAATTCGCCAGCGACAATTTCGGTATCTTCCGTTGGTTTGTCAAGAGCCTGCGGCTGAGTTCTAGCAGACACTTGGCTCCACAGCACTGCGATCTTCTTCCAAGTGTTGAAAAAAAAGCATGCTTTTGCGATGGATGTCGAATTATTGAGCGATAGTTGCATGATTGCTTCTGTTGTTCTGTGGTCATCATCCAGATCTCGCATGATCTCATCACTGTCGGATCAATGCGAAACCTACTTAAGTAGGGGGTAAAACCATGCCATGTGAAACTTTATTTACGATATCATGATCTGTCATGATTCGGAGATCGTATCGTTCATTGACCACCCGAGGTCGAGCGCCAGAGATCGCCGTGGAAAGATGCTCGCACTGCGATAATACTTTTTCTTTTCTCTTTGGGAAATGGGAATGTGGAGAACATTTTCGCCTTTTTTGGGTTTCCGGAGTCGTCTTGCCCGCCGGCCAACACGCCGTCGGGCCACTAAGGCAGGGGTAGCTTTAATCAGCAGTCCGTCAGCGTCAATCAGTGGAGGTAAGATGGGCGCTTAGCCTTAGCCACAGGGAAACACCCTCCAAGCGAACAGGTGAAGCGGGAGTGGCGAGCAAGTCTAGTCTAGCAGACGCATCCATGCGTGGGTGTTTGCTTTTTCGATTTTCCTTATGAGATCTATCATATGCTGGTCATCGGCGCTATCCAAGATTCGTCCTCAAATGCAGGAGAAGCCTGCATACCTTCCCTCGATGAAAGGCGAAAAGGCGGATGCAAAAATGCACCTTGTAACAGTGTCCCTCCAATCTCAATGCAGCTCCTCCCGCGTCGCATTCCTTATCTCCTTCGAGAAGTATGTCGGAGTGGAACTTGAAAATCCTTCTGTATTTGGATTTCCTCCGAACCCCGAACAGATGAAACGAAGATGTACGTATTCACTTTGATCGTTGTGCACCTGACATGCGAATAGGGGCATGCACCATTCTCGTGCTTTGATTATGTTCCACGAGTGTCCCTGGGTTATCCTGGGCCCATCACTGTGGGTTTCAAGGTCATGCCTTCGTCGTAAGATCTTACTCGGTACGAGCAAGACAGGCTTCCCGCGGGATGGTTCGCGGGATGAGTACCATGGTTCGGGCAATAAGCAGCCTCATTTAGGGCCAGAGAGAGCTTCTAGGGTGGTTGAAGTACCCTTTCCAAATATTATTGATAATAGACAATGGCAAACAAACCTTAGCCCATCGCTAATTGAGGTCTAGGCTCTGGCGGTCTCTTGGAGTCTTTGCTTTTAGAAGAGATCTACAGCAAGGATGGGTCATCCACATCCGTTCTATTTCCATCGAATGAGCCCGATAATGAACAATGTTATCTGGTGGAAGATACTCCGGAGTGTTGTCTTCAGGCTTAACCACAACAGACAAAAAGCAGGTGATACCATCTCTGTGTAATACACAGGAAGAGTAACGATACGTACTGTCCTGATACGATACGACGTAAATACGACCGGCTGCGCGCTCCAACCACGTGCTTCACCCCTCGTCCTCTGTGGGATTCTTAGTCTGTTTCACCAGTTTCGAGTTCCCATCGACCCCACAGCGAAAGCGGAGTCCTGACAGGACGCATTGAACTCCTTCCATGCCATTGACTTGGTCACGGTGCACTGCGACCCCCTTGCATGGCCAGAAAAAGAAGGACAGAAAGAGGGAAAAAAAGCCTTTTGCGCATAGACCAGGGCTAACTTATTGACGGAGGCAGTTAGTTGCCTGCCAGCCAGAAAGTACTGTCAGTGTCCAGAGTTTGGTGTCTATCTGACCCGCCCTGAGATAGCCAACTTTTGTGAGATGCAATAGTCGAATGTTGCATCTATCCTTCAGACCCTAAATTTAGTTGAAGCATTTCTAGTGAATGGGCAGCAACGGGCAAACACCAAACAAGCCTTTGCCCATAACAATCCTTCTGCAGTTCGAACCCCCTTTTTTCTTCCCACTCCTCCGACCCTACCCTTCTGGCCTCTCTTACCGTTCGTAAATTCGTATATATTACTCCACTCCACTCCGGCTGGATGGGGTTCCTGAAAACCGCATGGAAAGCGCTCCGTAAAAATGGATACTCCGTAACGGCAACGCATCCGCAGGTTACAAGATACTTACCTTATTACTTGGGCAGTATCTTCCATAGCTCCGACCACCCAATGCCATTGGCCAATTCCTCAGCGGCCTCGTCAGGGTTGACGCCGGAATACCGCGTGGTTTCTATTCCGGGGGAAATGCAGGCCGGGGTCTTGCCGCTTTTTCTCCTCTTTCTAAATTTCTAAGTTCTAACGGCCGGCTTTGGATCCTAACAGGGAAGAGCTCCTTCCGAAAATAACCATTTCGGCGCTGATTAATGGACGATCCAGTCAAAAGTAATTGAAGTCCCTGTTGCACTCCCGAGTGTCCTTTCATGCTTGGCTGGGCGATCTTCAATCAGCGCCAATCGGGAACTCCCATAAGCACCCAATAATGATGATTGTCGTTCCTCATCCGAATACTGTTTAATTGCGGCCCATCTTGCTTGCGGCTAGGCTGTACTAGGGGACAGTACTTTCAAGCGAACTTGATTCTGGGCAGACATGTCACATGCCGGGGGGAGAGAATGGTGATACCAATGCGGTGCATACACTCCAGCTTGGCAACTTTGCTAGAGAGCACAAAGTTGACTAGTACGAAACTTAAGCCTACTTTGCGCATTGTGGCTTCTATTCAGGACCGCGTAAGGTTGCTTGGGCTTCTATTCTCTCTCCCACACATACGCACATCTTGGCGAGGGACAATACAGGAAGTATCTCGCAATCCCGAACCTCGGGCGAGAATTAGCCGTTTTGCCAAGTGGATAACTTCCAATTGTGACCCGTGTTGAGGCAACCTGGTGAAGCGTCCGCCTTGTGGTTATTGGCCAAAGCTGTCCGTCAAGCTGTCAAGTCAAGGTGCCCTCCCGAAGCGTCAAGAAAGCCACCAGGTTCCATTCGACTATCAGTACCTTATTCGAGCACGGTATCTGCAGGTACCACCGCGGTGGACCTTGCCGTTGCTGCTAATTGCCTGTTGGGGACTCGGTAAATGGAGCCTTATTACGAATCACTGCGATTTCTCATTGGTAATACCTCAAATCACTTCCGTGATCCGTACCGGCGGATTCAGTCCGGGTATCGTAGAAATGGGTGCTTTTTTTTCTTTTTTGGTTTTTGCAATTGACTTGCAATCTTGGAATGGCTACTCATCCCTGCATGGCTCTTTCCCTTTCCATACATTGTCAAAGTACCGAGTTTGATCCCTACCTAGCTAGGGATGTAGGGCAGTCGCCGTTTTCAGCACTCTACAGTAAGAACCCCTGTTGAGTGTCACTCACACCAGGTGTGTTGCTTGCTCCGTGGTTCAACCATGGTTAAGCAGTGAGCCAAACAACCATAAGGTTTCAACCGAGCTGTCGCCCGGAGAATTAGACAGTTTCTCAGCATGAAAGGGGTTCAACCAACACATGGAATGTAGCAGCATGTAGGTTGATTGGTTTTGACACTCGTGGCGCACACACTCTGGCCAGGGGATTGCACGACATCTGAGCGCTTTCTGCTGGCCAAGTTGTTACATCGGCTAATGTAAGTAGTAGCAGTTACCAATAAGTTCTTCAGCCTTCTGGGATGATCCAAATCCGTAAATAGCAATGAAGAAATCTCCGTCCCGTCCACTCACTGACCAACTGAACCACACCACCCATCATTTAACATCAACATCATCATCATCCCATCTCCTGACCCCTGAAGCATAAGATCCATTTTATGCTCCCTCGATGCACAGCTGACTCATCACCGCCCTCAACTGCCCGACTAGACAAACTCACTAACCAATTCACTAACGAGCCTAGACTGAAACGCCCGCATCGCTACGGATTTACAGGGGGAGGCTAAGGGTAAATAATAGGCTTGCGCAATGAAATCCAGAATAATTATTATGTTTGAATTTCCAGCTCCGAAATGTTGTCCCCTTTCCCTCAGCTCCAGTCACCATCATCACAAGGATTCGCCGGTCTTGAACCTTATCCCGAGCTGACTGACTCCTAACGAATTTACGTGGTTCTGGTGAGATGAGTCGCATGCAGAACGGCCAAATACCAATTCCCCTGAAGAGGCTTAGGTCAGTCAGTCAGCTTACTTTTCTGTTTTGTTTTGTTTTGCTTTTTGATTAGCCACTAAGAAAAGCTCTCTGGTGCGCTTATCAATTGCAACCCCATCACATTATTACCTCAGAATTTGGGTCATTTCCGACTGACTATGCAGGGATTGGATTGGTAGCCAATCCATCCCGCACCCTGCATACGGGAATGTACTCAATAAGCATTAGATGCTACTACTATACCACCTACCTACGTATAAAATAATTAATATACTACCATCAGCTGACATTTACCCACTGCAATCTTAGCGAAGAAAGTTCCACCCACTCCGAAGATACAACAGTGCACAAGTACAACTACAACCATCACAGCAGCGATTCTAATAATAATAATAACCCTCCCGATATTGAAAAATGTCAGCCCTACCGGGGGTATAGGCGACACGATGATCACAATGACGATGATGACAATGACAATGACACGGATATTCTGAGCAATGCTAGTGGTGATAGCATTATTAGTAGTAGATATGGACGACAAAGGTCGCGGGTGGTGATGTTCTACGCGGCGTGTTATGTCGCTTTTGCCATCCTGTCGTTCTTCTCCGCCACTTATTACTTTTTGTGCTGGATGCCGTGTATGTATTACGCTTCTCATCATTGCTGCTGTGTTGATTTATTACTCTTGCTCTACGGTTACTAATTATGGTCCTGTTTTGTACAGATGAACCGTCCAACAGTGATCCTTTTCCGGGCCGTCATCGGTGATGCGCAATATCTTTACCTACTAAGCTACACAATTGATTGAGGGGACGCGCATATCAGTCGATTCTCAGAGCGAAGTCCAACAGGGACTCCTATGCAGCGGGATACTCGACTGATACTACAGTATACCTGGCTGGAAGACGCCCGGAGTGGACAGAATATCCAACTTGCACTTTGAAACATACACCCTCTCGGTATAGAGGGAGAGAGTGTGAGAAAGTGTGTGAGAGAGATAGAGAGAGAGAGAGAGAGAGAGAGAGAGAGAGAGAAACAATGTACATACGTCTCATATACATAATGCACAAAGAAGCAGATACGATCTTAATTCCATGAAGAAGCGAAAGTGTATCCATAATTAGAGAATACGAGTACCCCATCTGCCAGTAATGACTTGTCGCTGCTCTGAATCTGCGCGAACAACTATACAATCAGGAGGATCAAGGCGCCCACTATACGACCTTATATCCTAGTTAGGAGGCGGGAGAACACCTTCCCAAGATAGTCTTGATTACTACGCAAAGAGCTGCACATATAAGTATGTGTCACGCAGTGCTAATTTCAAACTAGTTCTATGTAAGACGAACTAGTATAATCCCGAGTTATAATTCGACAGCGATATTCAATGCAAAGATTGAATATTACAATACTCTGTCTTTGGCCAAATGTTTTCTACGGCTGTGCATCTTGGGAGAGCCAGTGAAGCTTTCAAACACGTGCGGGCGATTTTCACCAGATAATTAGTGATTTGCCCCAAGCTCTCTTGTGATTGATGCAAGTCTCATGCACTCGATCGCTAAGTTTCGATGTACTTCGCGCTGGATAATGGGATTACACTTGTTGGATCATTTACATACCTATATATATATATAGTTTCTGTCTGATAGGCAACAGTACAAGGGCTTCCGTGGTGAAGGACCTCGAAGTATTGGGTGGGAAAGTTCCACACACCAGCAGACCTTGAACAGTTATTACATATTTAGCATAATACATGTGTCTAGGGCTTTCCTTGTTGCCTCCTGCGTCGAATGCAGGAGATGAGAAGTAGATCCTAGAGTTTCTCAGGATTATAGGCGACAGCCGGAAAGCGGCAAGGGTTCCTCATTGATGAGCATGGGCTCAGCTTGTGGGCTTTCGGTATTTGTGGAAAAGGAAAGGCGATAGATGTAGCAATGTGATTGAGGTAAGTATGTACAAAGACATTTCTTTGACAAGATGGGATATTGGGGGAAGGGAAAGACACGCGGGGGTATGATAGGGTATTGGTAGGCATTGGACGAGGTGACTACGTACTACTACTTAGTCTCATAACAGTCACCACCAATCACTGTGACATATCAACAGACCGGGCAGGCGAACAGAAGCAGGCAGTAGTGTATGATCCAACTGGCGCAGTCGCTCTTATTCCGTCCTGGTAGACTAAAAGCGTTAGTAGTAACCGGGGTATGGAATGCTAAGCAAGGATCTGAGAGGCGAAGCAAGAACCTTGTGGGGGTGGGCTGTGAACCAGCGAAAGCGAACAACAGTCGATTGTCAGTTAGTGTGTGTTAGTTGGTATTTAGTGGCATGAGTAGTGTACAGGCAGAGCCAACAATTTCAACCAGAGATGCAGATCCCAGCATAAGCCAGTCTTTGTTTTGTATGCGCGGGTTATTGCTTTCAAAGGACGAGTTGCAGGGATTACAATATCATACTAGTAACTTAGTATGTCACGCTGCTGTAAGATATTATAGTAATGGACATAAATTGGGGGGTTTGCCCCCAAGGCTGATCGTCTCACCTTCATTTCTCACGCCTTATCCTCTTTTTTTTCGGATACTACTACCCAACTCCTACATTCTCATACTTCCCGCATCAGAGCAGAACAGATCAGAACATGGCTCCCCAGAAGCAACTGGTCATCAAGTTGGCCTCCTTTCGCTACAAGAAAGAAGGTATCTCTTGGAAGGAGTTTCACGAATACGGCGCCAGACAACATGCACCCAAGGCTGCCCGTATCCAGGAGAGACACGGCGCCTATAAGATCACGCACGTAAGTTCTCACTTGTCCGTTTATCTCTCTCTCGACTAAACCTTCTCTCTCTTTCTGTGGCTAGGTATACACTCCACCAATCACCAAGAGCCTCATCACCGAAAAACTTCCCTGGGCTCTCCGTCCCGGCTGGAAACTCGACGACCACGACGTTTCGATCTCGATGTACGTGCCTAATCCCGAGACGCTGCAGGCAATTATCGCGGACCCAGAGTTTCAGAGTCTTGTCGCTGGGGAGGACCATATCCTGGACCAAAAGCGGGCCACAGTGACCGCCGGCTGGGAGGAGGTGTTTCTTGATGAGGGCAAGATTGTGGATATCGAGCGCGAGAGTTGGGAGGCTTTTACCGCTATGGGTCAAGATAGTGAGAAGACGTCTGCTCCTGAGGATGTTCGTATCTAGAACGGGTATGCTGTTGGTTAGCTATAAATGTAGTCATGTATAAACCCTTCATTGCTCTCCATATTATATCGATTGCGAGGGCCAATGCCCAATATGATGGAATCATGCCCATTTCCAAATGAATATGAACGTACTTCGTAGACCATTCTTGAAAGAGTGGGTAAATGACAAATTGATGTTCATAGGAGGGAAAGGAAACATAATTGTGGTACAGTATTTTACAAAGATAATTGAGTGGAATGTTGCCGGAATATTCTGCACATGTTGAAGATACGATGAAGACCCTAAATGCCAAGTTGACATTCTCAGTGACCTTCAGTAGTGGAGATGTTAATCAGGATCTCTATACACTTCTTATGTAGGCTACCACTTCATTGTGATTGAAACCAGTGTCTTGCTATGCTATGGCGTACCCTCCCAGACCCTTCCTTTCTACATATGCTCCTGGTGGTATATAAAAGGTCCCCTCACAAATTGACAACAACGACAGGACCATTGTATTCTTTTCGACCCCTCACCAGCCAGAACACCGTACTCATCAAACAAACGAACCCAAAGATTCAGGAAGCATAGTTCATGTTAGACGGAGTGACGGGTTGATAAGAGGGAAACACCATGAAGATACTGGTGAACAACAGATAAATGATGGCGATGACATTGATTGCAATGCCGGCGCGGCCAAGTCTCCATGGTCCATAATTCACACAATGTGGTGCGGAAAGGCGGCGCCAGAGGAAGAAGACAATAGGGACAAGGTATGAGATATGTAATCCTAAAACGGCAAGTGAGAGGATGGCGTTGAAGGCAGTAGTGGAGGCGATGTTGATCAGTCCAAACAGGATGAGCAGACAGCTAGTTGTGATTATTGCACGCTTCGGCAAATCTGTGCGAGGATCAAGCTGAGAAAGGTAACTGGAAAATGGAAGAGCTATGTGGGTCAGTAATGACATTCAAGAGGTAAGAGAGGAATAACGCGACTGTCCATACCTCTGTCTCGAGCCAATGAAAGGACCATACGAGCCGTCGATGCTAGCAGTGCAATGGTACCTAGCCAGGCTGCGATTATCAAAACAGCTGTCAGGGCACAGCTTCCAGCCAAGGATCTGGTCACACTGCGGAAAATTTCAATGATTGGGTAGTCGGTCGGGGTCTGAAGTGCACTTGCCATGTCCCCCATGCAGAACAGAATGGTGAGTAGAAACACAAAGCCCAATATGTCGTTGATGGCAAGCGATCCCAGCATACAGTACGGCACGGCGGTTTCTGGGTTAGCCATCTCCTCGCAGAGATGGATGGCTCCGTCGTAGCCTGAGCTCAGAGAGTCAGATTATGCATTATGGATGACAAGTGGATGCTGACGAACCTGCCAGAACATAGCAGCTGGAGAGCATTCCAAGGCACCAGGAAAGACCATTACTAGGCCACCCAGTGCTATTCAAAAAGGTAGTGAAAACAAAGCTGGCATCATGTTTGATCGGCACGCAAACCCACATAACGATTAGGACAATCAGAAATCCCACCAGGTGAATGATGAGAGACGCCGTCTCTACTAGGGAGAAAAGACGACTGCCCCAGATATTGAGAGCGGTGGAGAGACCGACAAGAGCCCAGTATATCATTGACAAATGCCAGCGCTGGGGCTCATACGCCTCGCATGTGAGGACTACAAGGCCTTGTATCATGCCTGCGGCAAGATAAGGGGCACTAGCAGTGAATGATACCCAGCCAAAGGTTCCTAGTATGTGAAAGAGATAAGCATCGTCGCGTATAAGCCTGGGGATGACAGTGCTTACCTATCCATCCCACGAACCAGCTGAGGATATTCTGCCATTTTTGGGGTGCGAACTTTGCGATGAAGTGATACTGACCACCAGCCGTAGGATACCTAGCATGTAACAAAGTCAGATAACTTCAAGTACAAAGCAGGAAGCACTGACATAGACACCATTTCACCTAGGGAGGCTGCTGTTGCCATGGAACCCACAATCGCAACTACCATTTGATCAGAACCATTGAGTGCGGTTAGAGAGAGGAGAGACGAACGAAGGAATCCATAGATGAGTGATACAGGGCCACCACTAACGAGACCCGAGGACATTGTACTATCGTCAATGGAACAGTTAGACACGAAACTGAATTGTTGGAGCGAGGGCAGGCTTCACCTGGAGAGCGCCTCCCAAGTTGACATGAGAACCACAGTCAAGGCAAATATAGTAAGCCGAGAAAAGGGCTTCTACAGACCAAGGATCGCCATTAGAAGTTGCCCATGTCGACTTCAGACTGGTATAGATTAAGGAAAGAGGATAGTGACCTTGATTGGGATAACCTCTCCCATGCTGAGCCCATTATCATCAATGCCTGCCGACTTGGCAGCCATAGTATCTTTAGGGTCCTTCATACTGGGTGACATTTTATTTTTGGCAATAGAAGTGCCATTAGTCCACAAAATATAAGACTGTGTGGGTAGGAATGGGATGTATAAAGCAGAAGCTCTGAGGTAAAGAGTCCATCATGATAGGCATCTTCGGAATCGCCATGGCCAGTACCCTTGCAACTGATATACGGACACGAAATGATTAGCGCTTCGTATCTGAAAGAGTATAAAAAGTGCGGGCCAGTGGAACGTTCCGATGCTTATCTTGACAGCGGAATTGCGGGGAAGCACTAGTGAGATACCTTATCATCTCTTGCGGATTATTGCCGCCATCTGCAACAATCAGCTTCATCTACTCCACAACATTGTCCTCACGAGCAATACTACTACCATACCCATTCCCTGGACCAATCACTGTCAATGTCGGACTCACAGCCCGTCTCACGCCGCAGGGTGAAGACTCGCAGTGAGTAGCTAAGATGATCCAAGTGTGCATACATTGAGGGGACTGACACACCTCTGATGCCAGATGGCTGTCTAAGATGCAAACAAAGGGTGGGACCAGCAACTCATAGGGTACTTCCTCACGAGTGTACAAGCTGACCTGACTGACAGCGAATCAAATGCGATGAAACGCTTCCTGTGTGTATTCAATGCACCCGTAAAGGTTTCGAATGCCCGGGATACAAACGTCCTTTGAAGTGGTCATCCAAATATGAGGTGGGGAAAAGTGGCAATAATAGCGCAGCACCGAAGTCTTCCGAGCGGGTGCTCCAAAGGACAGGGCCCATCCAGCCAGTGGAACCCAACTTGTTCGAGTTCACGGTCTCGGACGGTGCCACACATTCCCTGTCTGTGCAGGAGGATGTCCAGTCCGCGCAGAACGAGACTGCTGCTAGTCCAGACCCCGTATTCATCTCTGCGGCAAACAGCTTGCCGTCGAACGATATCTGGACTCCTTCAAGTCTGCTAAGCGATGGTTGTGGTGATTCATGGACAAGAACCTTTATAGCGCAACGGACTTTGTCTACCCCACAAGACGATGACACTGCACTTCTTTGGCATTATTTCTCCAATGTATGTCCTGTCAACTCGTGCTTTGACTCACAAAAGAACTTCCTCCGCGTCGAAGTGGGATCCCTGATAAGCTCCCGACCTCTGATTCACTACTGCGTGCTATCAATGTCTGCCGCTCATCTGACGACAAAACAAAGAAATATGGTGACGATCACCCTGCGGCACCGGACGAGTGCACTCTCCTGCTTGAAGGCAAAACTCACAAAGGGGTTTTTGATACCGAAAATAAACAATGGATCACCGCTCGATGACATTGCCGAGATATTACTTGGTAGCATACTCTTGGGCATGACAGAGGTAGCCATCCTCCGTGTGCTTATGCCAGCCTTTTGTATGTCAAGCTGACGGCCTTTCATAGGGGTGGCATGATCCAACTCAACTCGGAGTAACGCATCTCCATGGTGCACGCAGCTTGTTCCAGAAATGGATTACCACCGTCTCAGCGTGCTGCCCCCGAACAAGAAACACAATCACGGGTATTATGTCCTACTGGGAAGCAGTCACGTCTTTTGTACATAACCAGTGTCTGGATTCGATATCCTACCTGATGCCGTACAGTCTTGAGGACGAGAGATGCGACATCTACGTCAATCCCTGGACAGGAATCTGCACACCACTTTTCATACATCTGGCCCAAGTCGGTATATTGACAAGACAGCGATCTCTTGCCCGACAATTGTCTGTAGGGTGGGGCCATGTAGGCCCCGACATGCTCGAGCAGGCTAGAGCCATTGAAACTGCGCTCCTTTCCTACAAAATCCTATCAACGGATCGCATAGAAGACACGGTTGATTCCCGGACACCTGTTGACCACCTCCAACGAATTGCACGCGTCTACCGGCTTGTAGGATTACTTCAGCTCTATATGACCTTCCCCGAATTGCACGGAGGCCCTTTTGTCGATTCTAACCTAAACCACAGGATCTTGAGCCTGGCTACCAATGTGCTTACCACTATTGGGGTGCTTCCGCCAACATCTGGAGTTTACTGTGTGCTCACGATTCCATTGATAATCGCGGGTAGCGCTTTGCAACTTCCTTGTTTCTCGTCCGATGCCCCCGCGTCCATACTGCAGCAGGATACCTATCTTTTCTGGAGGAACTTCGTGCGCGAGCGCATCAAGACCGTCCAAGGAATTGTGGGACTCGCTGTCATTGGCCGCGCGCAGAAAATTCTCGATAGGGTGTGGTTTCTAGCCGACGTGAGAAGGGCCGCTGAGGGGCCTGGCCAGAAATGGGAATACATCCAGTGGACCGAAGTGATGAGCTCCGAGAAGCTGGAGTCGATCTTTGGTTAAACCTCCTATGGCACTAACCGGATTGGGGAAAATAGTGCGTCAACTAGAACAAGGAATGCGATTGGTCGGTTTTCCTACTTATAGATGTCTTTCTAGTTGGATCGTGAATCTTGCCTGGCGAGGGATCTCCTTAAACTACGAGTCAGTGATACGATAGCATGGAACGGCTTGTGCTCCGGCAATTAGTGTCTTGATTGATTTCTCTTCGGGTTTCCTTCCAGTCACTATTGCTACAGCAAACCCACCAAGACCATTCATCCCTCGGCTAAGCAACTGCTACATATATACTAGTAGCCTCATTCCAAGCCTACCAGAACACTCAACACTTTCTCCCCTCCCCCTCCATCCCAGTCTCGAGACATAACACCATCAACATGGGTCTCCAAGTGAAAAGCATCACTGCAATGTACAATGTCCCCAGATACGGAGACATACCCAACATCTTCTTCGGTACCACCCCCCTTTCCCACTATTATCATCGACGGGACATTGACAGCAGAAACATAGCGGACCTACTAGGAACAAGCAAAAGTGGCGAGAAGAACCCAATCGTCGGATCCTGGTTTCGAATTGAGAAAGGACCTGAATCTACGCCTCCGACATATTCGTATGACGAGGTTGGGGTGGTCATTGAGGGTGAGTGAGCCATGCCACTTTGATGATAAGACATATATCAACTGATGGTGGGTTTATTACGGTGAAGGGGAAATCACTCTCCGTGATGAAACTGGACAGACCGTTACAGTGAGGCCAGGTGAAACATTCTTCTTCCCGAGGGGCAGTACTATCACTTTCTCCACGGATAGTTATGGGTTGGCGTGGAAGTGTGGGGGTCGTGACATGGCGAAGCTTTGATATGTGTCACTAGATTATGATGTAGGATTCAAATATGGTAGAGTCTAGCAAACTGATAATGAAGTGATTAAACAAATCTTATTTTTGCTTTTCAGAGGCATAATATGGATTGGACCGAGTTCTGCGACGCAATGTAGTGATTGGAGCTTACTATGTCTGGTTGGCAGTGCATATAACGGAAGCGCCTTGAGAACTGCTTACGCATGGAATCGAGAAGCTCTGAAAGGATCAATCAGTGCCCAGCCGAATAGATACGCCCCGTTCCCCTCACTTGTATATCTGAATTCATATCCCGCTAAGCGCACCATTACCCGAATTGGCAAAATAGTGCGTCAACTATGCCATCCTGCCCTCATCTCTTGTCAAGGTTATCAGCTGCAATCTAGCATCGAACATAAAATGTGCAAGTCCCGGAAGTAACGGCTATCACCATAGCACTCACTTATACTCGCTCGATAACCCGTCCTCACCAACTACTTGAGCAGCCCAACTTCCTCATTAGATACACTATATACACCATCACATGAACCCTCACATCCCACCAACCTCCGTACCACCCACAGCATCAACCATGTCCCGCTCCAGCGAAGGCTACCTCTGGACCCCCAAACAAGCCACCACAGGCCTACCCACCGACGCCATCCACCCCAGCACCCCCACCCTCCTCACCCACTACGACGTAGTCGTAATCGGGGCCGGATTCTCCGGGCTCATTGCAGCCCGCGACTTAAGCAAGAAGCACAATCTTTCCGTCCTGCTCCTCGAAGCACGGGACCGCATCGGCGGCCGAACATGGACAGCCAAGGTGCTGGGCGAGGAGATCGAAATGGGCGGGACCTGGGTCCACTGGAACCAGCCGCATCTGTATGCCGAGCTGCATCGGTACGGATTGCATCGGAATCTGAAGACATCTGCGGGGGCGTTCGCGCCTGTGGATCAGTGGTTCAAGTCGTCCAGCAGTGGCATTATGGAAAAGGTGTCTGTTGAGGAGTATGGGGCTACGCTTGAACGGGTTGCATCGAAATTCTTCACTGTTGATGGACTAGATAGTCGTGCGTTGATGCCGTATCCGCATGATTCGCTGAGAGAGCCGGCGCCGTGGAAGGGGTATGATTATCTTAGTGTGGGGGAGCGGTTGGAAATTTCGGATTTGGGTGGGTTGTCGGTGTGGGAGAAGGAGTTGTTTGCGTCGAATGTTAGTACCTTTGGGAGTGCGCCGGTGAAGGATATTGGGTTTGTGGAGGCGTTGCGGTGGTTTGCGCTGGGAGGGCATACAATGGCTGGGGTGTTTGAGTTGGCGGGGGTGTATAAGTTGGGGAGTGGGGGGATGACGGCTTTTGCGAGGGCGGTTTTGGGGGAGTTTACTGGTCATGTTTGCTTTGGGGCGGTTGTTGAGAGGATTGATCATGGTCGTGATGTGGTGGAGGTTGTTATGCAGGATGGGAGGAGGGTTGGGGCTGGGGCGGTGGTGTCGACGATTCCGCTGTATGTTTCTTGCCCTATTGCCCTTTCTTTCATGCTCTGGATCTTGACTAACAGGGACAAACATAGGAACTGCCTCTCCGATATCCAGTTCTACCCCCCACTATCCCCCCTCAGACAAGCAGCCGTCGCAAAGGGCCACATCAACAAAGGCGCAAAGATCCACTTTAAGCTCCATGAGACACTACCGGGCTGGTTTCTCACTGCGCATGATGGCAGTGACTCGAGCTTTGTCTTTGCGTTCTCGGATCACAATGGAACCCGGCCAACAGGTCCATCCGGTACCTGGTGTATTGGGTTCGGATACAATGGTCAACTTACCGATAAGCAAGATAGTGAACATATCTTGCAGAGGTTGAAGCGTGATGTTAACCCGGGTATTACAGTTGATGCGTATGCTACCCATGACTGGATGAATGACCCGTATGCGAAAGGGGCTTGGGCGTGCTGGGGACCAAACACTGCGTCGGAGTACTTGGGGGAGCTTCAGAAGCCGCATGGACGGGTTGTGTTTGCGAGCGCGGATTGGGCGGATGGATGGAGGGGGTTTGTGGATGGTGCGATTGAGAGGGGACAGGCTGCTGTGGGGGAGGTTTTGAGGGTGTTGGAGGGGAGAGAGGGGAGGGCTAGGCTGTAGGATATTTGAGTTGCTACTATGGTGTCTTATCATTTCTAGTGTATGTAGGATGGACATGGCTCTTGGAGGTCACATCCAAGGCTTAGTATACAATGAAGTGTACGATGACTGGAACTAATGACATGGACAGTAAACCTCTGTCAAGGAAGAATATAAACCTCAATTATCCGTATGTTACTTGATACTCATTGTTGAAAGATAATTGAAACATTAACTTGACTTTCAGCATCAAGTATCTACATCTTCAACGCAGGCTACAAATGCAACATCAGTACTCTTCTTAGCCACCCAAATGATTATACCATCCACCCCCGCGCATGGACCAGATCAACTGTCCATCACATCAAAATCCCCGACGTGCCACAGACCAATAGGCATTTAAGCACAGCCTTGTCAATACTACTACAACATGGTACTCTGCGTGTGGGTAGCATACCGCTAGATTTCCAACCAATAGGATAGAAAATGCAGTTGTGCGAAGTGATTGAAATGCATCTTGCATCGTGCTTGACATGTCGGTGTGAAAGCGGCTGGCATGATGGCGATGTACTCACTCACTCATTGTCCTGGTCCATAGCTAGTAAGTACTCACCGCATAGTAAGAATATCGGTGACTATCAAGGGCTTCAGCTTCTATCGATCCAGGTAGATAAGCGTTCGGTGATGATGTGTTGGTGCCTACTTGTCTGCCTATTTCCTAGATCCTGGCAGTGTAGAGCACGTGTCGATCTATGTAGTATCTTGACCAGTTTATCATTTCTATCTGATTAGCGATGAGTAAGATCGACGATCTGTGGCTCTCCAAAACGACCAAGGTATCGGGGAGAAAAGGAAGGAAAAAAAAAAAAAAGATCCTTGTGACTGGTCATCTGCTCCACTTTCCTTGCGCAAAGTGATGTGTGCCGTGTCTGTGTGGGATGCAAGTGACAAATCGGTATCGGTATGGGGATGAGGCATTGTGACTGGGCCTCATAGCCGCCAACTTGCAGGGCTAGTCTAGATACCTGTCTTCCTTGTAGGCCATGAGTCATGCGGTCTGATGAGGGAAAGATGTCTACCTGCAATTCGTCAAAAGTACCATATAGTAAGTACTAGGTACTACCTCTTTGAGCCTGGTGGCTGCATCTCCAAGAGGGACTGGCCCGGCCAAGATAAGCTTGTGCTATTCATCATTTGGGGAAGGTTGACTACTGTAGGTAAGTAAGGGGCACAGAGCCCACACACAGAGAGAAAAAGAGAGAGAGAGAGAGAGAGAGATAGGATGGAATGCACTCGGCCGTGTTACCGTAGCCTTGGATTTCTGTTTCCCACCCCAGATCCCAATCATGATGCAGATTGAAATCAGGCGCCGGGATTCGAGCTTCACTTTTTTTTTTTTTTTTTTTTCTCTTTCCCCTCCTGCGGGCGGGATGTGGGCTGTGATGTGCGACGTATCAAATTGTGTGATTTTACCTCAACGGAAATGTGATGAGTGATGGGATGGGTTTGCCCTACGGAGATTGTTATTTGGGCTTTGCTATTATTCGGTATAAGGTAGGATGCCGATTTACTACTGGTGGAGGCTGAGTACGCGGGGACTTTTTGGCTCATGCTGGGATTTGATTGATTTAGATGGTAGATGGTGGGATGTCAGCTGCAAGGCATGAAGAATCAATCCTTTTCGGTCAGAATTTTTCTCCCCCATTGTTTGCTTTTTCTGCAATGACGTCCTTGCTTCGGAATGCGGATACGGTCTGGCCTTGGTCTTGATGCATCGGAATCCAGCCATTCTGGACCAGATTACCCTAAGTCAATTGGTAGTACTATACCTTGCCTCCTCATGGTATTTTATTATATACGCTTGGGCTTCGATTCATGTGAGGTTAAATGCTTAGCGATTATTAAGCGGACATAATAAAAAGACCCAAAAAAAAGAATAAAATGTGCTTAATTTCCCTCCCATCAATTCACTTTCAGCTCACCCGTTCAGCCGCGAATTTTAGATGCTAATTTACCAACGAACATCCCGGTCCATAACGGAGTAAACCTGGTGCTTAACAGACTGACCAAAATCGGCGATCGGCCGGAGATCCGCCGCAACGGTCAGCCACTAAGAGGCAAGGATGAACTCAGAAAGGCAAGACCGGCTGTCATCCACTCCGCAGCTTCATCCACCGGGCGTTCCTCCTCGAGGCGGTCATTGGCACTTAACGGCTCCCGAATGACCCGGCCAACGTACTGCTGTTTTCCCTCTCCGATCCAATCGTGATTCCTGTTCGCCCTGCCCCCCCCTTTTTTTTACCCTCAAGTCTCCTACTTACTCCTACTCCCCCCCTTCCCAACTGCCCACTTCTTCCCACTTTCATTCGATCCCTTTTGCTTTTTTGGGACAATGGGCTATCCTCATTCGACGCTCCCCATTTTTAAGATGCCAAACGAGGGAAATGAATGATTATTATAATAAAAAAAATTAAGAAAAAAAGGTACCTATCTTCATCTCTACCGGTACGATCCACTTCTTCTGTCCCTCGACTATTCTCTTTTTATACTCCTTTTGCGTCGCGTGCCCGATGCCGCCCCTCATCTCCCCCCTCACCCCCTTTTTAGGTAACCAGAAATAAATCCGGGTACCTGAATTCGGTATTTAGGTGGTCAAGTAGATAGCGTGGTACGCCCGACGTAAAAAAGAATCTGGGTTCAGCTGATGAGTGTTGTTGGTTGTAAGGAGGGAAGGGGGACAGAAAAAAGGAGTAGATAGTAGCTACGTAGATACTACTAAAAGTAATCAACTAATACTAATGTAGACGGCTTACCTTGTCTCTCCTCTTTAGTTGGTGCTACTTGGTGGCAGTAACGGGAGCATTTCAGCTGCAGGCCAAGAGCAGGCATTCATTCATTTTCAGCTTTCCCCGTAAATGGGATC